CTCTTCCCTTGCGTCTTCTGCCTTTGACTTTCTCGAACATGATTGTCTTCTCCAGGGAGTCTTGCCTTCTCATGATGTGTTCAAAAGATGACAGCCTCAGTTTTGTCATTTTTGCTTCTAGAGAAAGCTCTGGCTTTATTCGATCTAGGACCCACTTGCCGTTCTGTCAGCCTTGGGTATTCACAAAGCTTTCCTCCAGGACCAGGTTTCAAACTCACCAGTTTTCTTCTTTTCAGCTTTCTTCTCACTCTAGCTTTCACACCCATTTAATTGGAAGTAGCTTTGTTAAAAAGGGCAAACAGCTTTACATGAGATGAACTGAAGTTTGTTCAGCCCCAGTAGAGTGATAAGCTGCAGTTAACCTGACTTTTCCCAGTAGCTGTACATGGATCTTTAAGCACTTGTTTCTTCACTGTGGTATGCAGGTACTGGCCACATTTCTTAGACATTATGAGTGCTTCTAGGTGAGGCTTTTATTGCCCCATCATCCTGCTTCATTAATAGACTTTTATGGGTGGTCCATGATGTTGTCTGCATTTATAACCCTTTCATGTTTCCCCGCCGGTACTTGTATCTCTTTTTCTTATCTCAGAAACTCTTTTAAGGAAAAAAGGTAGAATAGCTGCCCAAACCCTTCCCACAGTTAGTGCTCCCAGTCCTCTGGGGTGTTTAAAGATTCGTTCACATATGTATGTCATCCATATTTTCCATGTTTGCAGTGTGCCTATAACATTAGGGTGCATGTAGAAAACATGCTTGTTGTGTAAAGTGTGGTGCTCCCCAAAGTACTGAAGTGAATAGATGCGGCAACTTAAAAGGCACCTTTAAGTTCTGCGGTGACTAATCTGTGTTCTGTGTTCCTCATGAACGTAGTTGTACTAGGTATTAGAGCTAATGCAAAAGCATTGACTCTTAGCAATATTATCAATTTCAGATGAGATAAGCAAGATACTTGATATTACAATTTCAGGAACTATGTGGCAGATATTTGTATGTACCATTTTGGCACATGAAAGTTATTTTGGGGGCAGGCAAAGTCGCTTCCAAAACTTTTTGCTTGCTTGTCTTTTTCACATGTGTTCAGTACTTGTTGTTCTAGCGCCATTTCGTTCATTCCAACAGCCGCTGCTTCATGCTGGGCACATGGGATGGTCAGTCAGAGATCATGTATGATGTAGAGAACGTGATGTGTGGACATCCTTTAAACAAATTTAACAAATAAGATATGAGATAACAAGATCAGCTTTTAAAATGGCTTCTTAGAAACAACAGCTAGACCTATAAACCTATGCATGGCATGTTTCTTTAAAGCAACTTCGTGCAATATTACAACCGCCCCCCCCCCCGCCGCAGCATCCAACAAAGTAACAGCATCAAATTACTCCATTGCTTGAGTGGATTGTCCCTCCAAGCTTACTTTTCTTACAGCTTATGAGATACACAACTAAGTAAATCTGAACATTGATGGAACAATTGGAATGGTAATGTTTTTTTGTGCATCGCTTACTATGGCAAAAATTTAGGATGAAGGCTAGGAAAATGAAGATACAAATGAGAGAACTTTTGAGGGATTGCATAAGTCTGATGAGGAGAAATGAATTCTGTTTGTAGGTGAGCCCAAGAACAGGTGCACAACTTCAGGAGATGAAAGATACAATATTCATTTGCTATCTATTGCAATGATCTTATCTGGATATATTTCATACTAAGCTGAAACTTCGCATGCAACTTGGCATGTCTATATTTGGGCTAGATCAAAACTATTTCTGAGCTAATCTTTCAAGTTCTACAGCTTGGAGCCACCTTTTTTGCCTGAACATGGAATTGAAAACATCAACATGTACTTGAGTTTGCTATCTGGTATTATTCCAACATCTTCTTTTTGGACTTCTTTGAGTCAGTATTTCTTAGAACTAAAGTTTGATACATTGATAGCCTCCCTTAGTTAGCTGTCCAGCTCTTTAAAATAAATGTGTGTTTGGGATACGATGTGCACAGAACCCTGCAGTTTGTTATGACTTCAAAAAGGGGCTTAAACCTGTTCTAAGGCAGCAGAGACGTATGTCCCAATTTTAGAGGCAGCACTGTGCATGAAAGGTGCGTGGCTAGTGGAGTTCCAAAGGAAACGGTGAGTCAGCCAGGACAATAAATGATGAAGATACAGAGTCAGGCCCAATACTGTGGACTGTGATGGGTACTGTTTCTCTTGGTCTCCAGCAGAGGTCTTTATGTCACCTACTGCCTGATTATTTTAGCTGAAGATGGAGGTTGAAGCCAGGTGGATAAAAGTCGAGGATTAACAAAAGAATTAGATGGGTTTAATTTAAATCGAAACTTTATTTTTAAAAATCATACATAACATTCTAAATTGCTTTCTCACTGAATAACATATCCTTAAACCTCATCATGAATGCATTAAACCTATGCTTGTGATCTTCATCTTATGAAAACAGCTTTGTCCGGTTTTCATAAGTTCTTGCTCATGGGCTTTTCAGTTTCTCTGATTAAAGTCAAGTATGCAAAGATGCAAGCTAGACAGGATTGTTATTTTGTGCTTATGTGAGGATGGAGTTGGACCAGCTAAGGCAGAAGAGTTAAGTCAGCGATATTGCAGGGATGAGGGATGTTTTAAAAACATATGCACCCAACATTGGAATTTAAAAAAATATTTAAATTCAATTATTTTTGTGCCAGGCATCAATCAAGCCTTGCTTTGACATATTCATTTGCTATTTTGTTTTTTATGAGAACAAGCCTGGGCCAAGGCATCATAAAGCAGAAAGGACTTGCATGAGAAATAAAAAGACAAAATGGTTTAGTGTGCATTTCTGTACTCCCCTGCTCAGGCTTTGATCCTGTTCTCACTCATCTAGGAGTAAGCCTTACTGAACTCAGTGGAACTTATTTCTGAGGAGAAATGTAAAGGAGTGTTTTTAACCTCAAAGTATCATGGCTGCGTGTCATAAGAAAGACATTATGGGGAAGGTAAGGTAAGGTAAAATTCAGGAAGGTAAGTGTTCAAAGAATCCCACAGATAGAGATGAACACAGAGAGAATGCAACTTGTGATGGTAGACTTTGTCCATGGCATGGGACAAGCAGATCAAAATAGAAAAGCAGAATTTTTATTTTTTATTTATTAAAACATTTTTATGCCGCCCCATTCGCCGAAGCCTGTAATGTATTGTAAGGTAGATAGGTAAAAGAGCTTTACTGAGAATAAATGATTTGGCCCATAAGTGATTTTCCCGCATTGACTGTACAAAGGTTGGTACTCTTAATTCCTGGCCAAAGCAAGGCAGGAATTGAACCAAAATAGAGGGTCCTGGCAATTACAGGGGGCTGCTTTGAGCATGAGAGCTACTCTTGACTTGTCTGTGAATTTATTGGGCTTAGTAGAACATCTAGGTGAGTCGTCTTTGGAGTATTTAATGTAATGTAACTCGAGCGCTTTTTAAAAGAGAGCCCTAGGTCTTGCACCATGTGTCCCAGCCTGCAGTTTGGGGATACCAGTGCTAACCTACTTTATATTATTACTTTAACAACAATTGCTAAAGTAAGTTGAGAATTATTGGGTATGTCCACTTGAGATTGCTACCTGCATAAGCACTGCCTTGATTACAAAGGCTTCTGAAATTTCCCTTTACTTTCTTGTTGGGTTGCAGTCCAGTTGTAGCTGCCTCACTCTGACTCCATTCCCCTGGTAAAGAAGGCAAAGAATTTACTCTGACGTGGAAAAAAATGTCTTTTATTGACTGGTTAATTGAACAGGATAATTTCCAAGGCAGATAATGCCCTTAAAGTTAGATGACTTCCACTGATAAGAAGTTGGTGGAACTTTTCACTTTTATGAGGCATTACATGAGCATGAACTATTGCCAGTGACTTAGTTCTTTCATGCTTAAAAGTCCATGGACTCTAAACTTTGGAATACTTTTGTAAATACTTCTCTAATGGAGCAGTCCTGTGCAAACACGGACAGAAAAACCATCTACAACTTGCAGCATGCTGAAGGCAGGTGAACTTGCATCAAATGGTGCTCTAATGCATAGGTGCTTAATATTTGTGAACTAACATTAATGATCTGTCATTTTTCAAGTAGTTAAGTTCTGGTATTCTGACATTTTCGCTGATGAAACTTACATCAGAAGAAGGTCAAAGTACTTCCTTGTCCCTCAAATAATAGGGATGATGAAGCTATCAAAATTGATTGAATTAACAGAGGACAAGAAAGGGATTAAACCTCAGCTTTTAAAAATAGAATCATGTTGCATGCTTCAAATGACACAAGTGGAAGAATGAATGGCAGAGAACCATGCGTAAAAATAAGAACATAAGGACTACTTTGCTAGATCAAACCAATGGTCCATCTAACTTAGTTTTTCATTTCTAATAACAGTTAGTCAGGTATCCCTGGGAAGTTCATCAAAAGGACATAATCAATGTAGTTGGCCTTAGTTTTTGTTCCCAGAATTTTTTCTTTTTGTATACCATATACTGCCTTGAGCATAGAGGTCCTGTTTTTATATAAAGGTAAAGGTAAATGTTTCCCCTTGACATTAAAGTTTAGTCATGTCTGACTGTTGGGGGCGGTGCTCATCTCCGTTTCCTAGCCGAGGGAGCCAACCTTTGTCCACAGATAGTCTCCGAGGTCATGTGGCCAGCATGACTAAACACCGAGGTGCACGGATCGCTGTTACCTGCCCACCGAAGTGGTACCTTTTTATCTACTTGCATTTGCAAGTTTTTGAACTGCAAGGTTGGCAGGAGCTGGGACGGAGCAATGGGACCTCACCCCGTTGTGCAGATTCGAACCAGATACCTTTCGATCAACCAGCCCAGCAGCACAGTGGTTTAAACCACTGTGCCACCTGCATCCCCCGTTTTTATATACATGCATGCAAATATGCACACTATATAACCAATTGCTACTATCAAATTTATACACCTGATGCCCATTTTCTTTTTTAAAAAAGATTTTATTTGAGTTTTAACTGTTGTGCTACAGTTACATACATTTAAGATCAGTGATTTATTATTGTATTTATAGATTTTAATATATATAGCCGAAGTAGTACCAGTTTTAAATTATTATTTTTTTATGAATGTTGTGAGCCGCCCCGAGGCTTTGTTGCGATGAGGGCAGCATAGAAATGCTTTAAATAAATAAATGTAACTAACTGAATATTGGTCTGTATCCATTATTCAACGTAAATAAGTAATATTATGGAGATGATTGCACTTTAGTAATGGCATGTGAAACTTTTGAAGCAAATTTCCAGAAGTTTACATTTGTGTAGACCAGGAGAAGGTGCTCCACAATTCCTGACTACAATCAACAGCTCCTTGCTGCCTCTGTTGAATTCCTCATATAGCATAAAGTAACCTGGGGATTTCCCCTGCTGCTATCTTCCTGGAACAGACCAAAAAACTTCCGGGTTGGATCCAGAATCTGCTTTTTAATAGGAGGAAGGGCTCTGCTTGTTTAAGGTGTCTTCACTTGACTTATGGAGATTGCTCTGCATCCTCATCCATCCACAGCTTGTCTATTCATCAGGGTCTCTTTTCTCTGTGTAGCATTTTTCAGGGGCCTGCTGTGGGAAGGACAGAGTAGTCCTGCACAAATTTGGATCCAACCCAGCTAGATTCCAGTCCTAGCTACACTTACCTGAGAGTAAGTCTCATTGAACTCCAGGGGACCTACCTCTCAGAAGATATAACTGAGAGTGCGATGGACTCTTGACCTATTTAGGGACTCACAAGTTTTTCATGGTTTGCTCTTTGTTCCTCATGTTATTTCTTCATACATTCTTCTGTTGTCACATACCGAGATTATGCTGAAAGACTTGAGTTGCACAAAAGTGTTCCAGGCAATTTCCAAGTAAGTGGTTGAGACATGACATACAGCATTGCACAAAATTGGGTGAGGGGGGTGTTTGGCATTACATTAAAAGTACTATAGTAGATTGTATACTTGTAATGATTTGGTATTGGGAAAGAGCTTGTTAAGATGATAAGAGATGCTAAAATTTGACTTGGAGGATTGATTCTGGCTGGTCTTTTCATTCAATAGCCTTAGTTTTACATTAGTCTTATCAGAATTTGTTATTGTATTTGGAACACTGTGTACTTTCTCCAAATGGCAAAATCCCAGCCTCTGTGTAACCAAGCTAATGATATGATCTGAGCAATGCTGTTTATGTCAACATTGATGATAAGAGTTCTCTAATGGAGATTTCTATAGGTCAGGGGCTCCTATGGAATTGTAGAGTTGGAAGGGACCAGAAGGCTCAGTGCAGGAAACTGAATTGGCATCCCTCCCAATTGGCTGTTGATCATAGAATCATTGCTTTTTATGTGGGTTGGGTTCAGTTGTTGTTGTTAGTTGTGAAGTCATGTCTGACCCATCGCGACCCCATGGACAACATTCCTCCAGGCCTTCCTGTCCTCCACCATCCCCCGGAGTCCACTCAAGCTCGCACCAACTGCTTCAGTGACTCCATCCAGCCACCTCATCCTCTGCCGTCCCCTCCTGCCATCTATTGTTCCCAGCATTAGGCTCTTCTCCAGGGAGTCCCTCCTTCTCCTTAGGTGGCCAAAGTATTTGAGTTTCATCTTCAGTATCTGGCCTTCTAAAGAGCATTCAGGGTTCATCTCCTCTAGGACTGACTGGTTTGATCGCCTTGCAGTCCAAGTGACTCGCAGGAGTCTTCTCCAGCACCACAATTCAAAGGCCTCAATTCTTCGGCGCTCAGCCTTCCTTATGGTCCGGCCTTTACAGCCATACATTGCAACTGGGAAAACCATAGCCTTGACTATATGCACTTTTGTTGGCAGGGTGATGTCTCTGCTTTTTAGTATGCTACAATATGTGGACCGAGAACTACCAGAAGTACAGGCAGGATTTAAAAAAATCTGTCACTACCTCCATTTCTTCCCCATCTGTTTACCAGGAAGTGAGAGGACCAGATGCCATGATCTTAGTTTTCTTAAAGTTGAGTTTCAAGCTAACTTTTGCACTCTCCTTCTTCACCCGCATCAAGAGGCTCTTTAGTTCCTCTTCACTTTCTGCCATGAGAGTGGTATCATCTGCATATCTGAGGTTGTTGATATTTCTCCCAGCAATCTTAATTCCAACTTGTGATTCATCTAGCCCTACCTTTCTCATGATGTGCTCTGCATATAAGTTAAATAGACAGGGCGACAGTATACAGCCTTGCCGAACTCCTTCCTCAATTTTGAACCACTCAGTGGTTCCGTGTCCAGTTCTCACTGTTGCTTCTTGACCTGCATATACATAGGTTTCTCAAGAGACAAATAAGATGGTCTGGTACTCCCATCTCTTTAAGAACTTGCCACAGTTTGTTGTGAGCCACACAATCAAAGGTTTTAGCATAGTCAATGAAGCAGAAGTAGATGTTTTTCTGGAACTCCCTAGCTTTCTCCATGATCCAGGGTATGTTGGCAATTTGATCTCTAGTTCCTCTCCCTCTTCGAAACCCTGCCTGTACTTCTGGTAGTTCTCGGTCCACATACTGCTGGAGCCTAGTTTGTAGGATTTTGAGCATAACTTTGCTAGCATGTGAAATGAGTGCAATTATGCGGTAGTTTGAACATTCTTTGGCATTGCCCTTCTTTGGAATTGGAATGTAAACTGACCTTTTCCAATCCTGTGGCCACTGTTGAGTTTTCCAAATTTGCTGGCATATTGAGTGTAGCACTTTTCCTGCATCGTTTTTTAGGATTTTGAATAGCTCAGCTGGAATACTGTCACCTCCACTGGCTTTGTTGTTGCTCAGACTTTCTAAGGCCCATTTGACTTCACATTCCAGGATGTCTGGCTCGAGGTCAGTGACCACCCCATCTTAGTTATCAGGGATGTTAAGCTATTTTTTGTATAGTGCTTCTATGTAATCTTGCCACCTCTTCTTAATCTCTTCTGCCTCTGTTAGGTCCCTGCCATTTTGGTCCTTTAACATGCCCATCTTTGCATGAAATGTTCCCTTCATATCTCCAATTTTCTTGAAGAGATCTCTGGTCCTCCCTATTCTATTGTTTTCTTCTATTTCTTTGTACTGTTCATTTAAGAAGGCATTCTTATCTCTTCTAGCTATTCTCTGGAATTCTGCATTCAACTGAGTGTATCTTTCTCTTTCCCCCTTGCCTTTCGCTTCCCTTCTTTTTTCAGCTATTTGTAAAGCTTCCTCAGACAGCCATTTTGCTTTCTTGCATTTCTTTTTCTTTGGGATGGCTTTAGTTGCTACCTCTTGTACAATGTTGTGAACCTCCGTCCATAGTTCTTCAGGCACTCTGTCTATCAGATCTAATTCCTTAAATCTATTTGTCACCTCTACTGTATATTCATCACTACATCTTAATTTATGATTTGCTTTTCTAGGACTGAAATTTCTGACCAAAAAAAGTACAACATCCTTGCCTTGGGCCTGCATTCTGAATTTGGGGAGGATTTATATAAAATGTTGTACTTTTTATTTTGTTTTGTTTTATTCTGCTTTAAGGTGGTATGCAAGAGTGGTAACCCTAACATTCCCTGTGCTGCCCCAGCTATATATGTTAAATACTAGAACATTACAAAAGCATTTAGAATTGAGGGGAGGGGGAGGGCAGGTGAAAAAAGAGGCATATGAACAATCCATACACTGAGAAAAGAAACCATGGTTTATTCGATCATGTGCCAGACAAATACTGAGCAGTGCAACAAACCATGGGTTAAATTTACCATGTGTTTGTTTTATGTGTGAACCAGGTCATACTTTCTTTCATCCTAAGCCTTTGCTCTATCTGCAATTCTTATTTTCTTCTCATATATTTTTACACTAATTTTTGGCCAATGGACATACATAGCTAAGATACTGAGTATTTGTCTTACAGGGCTATGGTAAGAATTGGAACAATCGGAACATTAGCAATGTATTTTATAGACACATAGGTGATGAATACTTCGTCAGCTGTACTGTCTTGATTTCTCTTAAGCTGTTCAGAAGAAATTGCATTTTTTCTTGTAGAAGAAATTAAGAGAAGGTGTTAATACATTAATGCCTTGCTGAGTTAAGTTTCATCATTTGTATTTTCTCAAAGGTTGGACAGAAAATCTAGTGTCTTTATGGTTTTAGGGCAGTTTCTATGATAATATTTTGGAAAGAATCAAATTCCAAAAGTTTGAAAAACTGAAAAGTTGATTCAGAGGGAAGCTCTGTATTCTTTAGGAATGTGTTAAAATATGGATGTTTTTGAAGGCTACTTCAGAACTGTATATCATTACAATTGTTAATTTCCCCCACCCCTAATGAAATGGGTTGGTTTGGAAGCTTTTGATAAAAGTAAAATGTTGTTTCAGTTACGCAAGGATTTTACTGGGAAAATATCATAAGTGGTGCCAACAAAGAACACAATGGGAATAACAGTGTGTTCATGTCCTGCCTGCAAAAATACAGCTGTTTCCTAAATAGACTTGAAATTGTAACTTGAGCTTTTGCTTGGCTTGCTCACTACAAGGTTTTTGTTTTGTCTTGTTTTTTTACAGTATGTATGACCAATTGCCCTACACTGATTGTCATGGTTGGCCTCCCAGCTAGAGGAAAGACGTACATCTCTAAGAAATTGACACGCTACTTAAATTGGATTGGAGTGCCTACAAAAGGTGACTACTTTTCCTTAGCATAAAATATTTGGGGAAGTGGTGGGGGTGTTAAAATGATTGCCTAATATTATTATTGATTATGTATATGGTGCCATCTGTTGAATATGGTGCTGTACAGAGGACCATGTACAGTTCCCTGCTGTGAGAAGCTTACATTCTAAAATCTGACACACGAGAAAAGAAAAGAGAGAGGGCAGCAAGGAGGAGTCAGAGCATATGGGGAGGGAAGATGAAATTGGTTTTGTTACGAAGGCTTAGTTACAAGGTGAGTTACAGTAGGACATTGAAAGATGTGGGCCTTACGGAATAGGTGCTTCTGGGGAGGAAATATAAAGGGATGAGAATGTGGTGTCATGCCAGTGTTTCGTTGCAGTACATTCAGGGACAATTCTGTAATGACCTGGACTGGACCTCATGAGAAAGCATGATTTCTCATGTTGGGGAATAGCTGCAGAAAGTTCTGGCCTTGCATTCATTCCCCCCCTGCCCCAGTGTGGCTGTGGGAAAGAGATTGGCAGCATTTTAGATTAACTGCAGCTTGTTTTTTCCTCCAGCTCACAGCTGTGGTTAATCTTAACTACTTTTTTGTTTAAGCAAGCCAACCCAGAGAGCTCCAGCTATTGAGTGATGATAGAGAAATAAAACAAATGATACCTACAATAATAACATCAGACCATGAATTTGCATAATCTAGCTGAAATTTTTACAACAGTCCTGGAAGTCAATAGTGGTATTCCCATATTGCACAAGGGGGAACTGAGGAAGAGCGACAGTGACTTGCTAGAGGCAACTTAGGGTAGAATCCAGTATGACGCAGCCACTGAGAGAAATTATGCCTTTGTTGCACTATTTCCCCTAGTAAGTTCATGGAAGAGGTGATACTCAAGCCAGGAACTTTTGGCAGTCCTATCTATTAGTCACTATGCTGCACCTTAGTGGCAGAGATGAGAGTGCATCTGTAAATTGTAGGTAAATTTACATCTGTAAATTGTAGGGAAAAGTAGATGACTTTAAGGGCAAGCAGTGATCAAACTCAGCTTGATTAACTTCCTTGATATCCCACACAGAATTTAATGTTGGTCAATATCGGCGAGATTTGGTAAAAACGTACAAGTCCTTTGAATTCTTCCTGCCAGACAATGCGGAAGGCCAGAAAATTCGAAAGTAAGTTTGTAGTAGGTCTTATTTCTTCTGCTTCATAGTGTTATTTTGATTTATAAGAGTGTTCGACTTTCTCAGCTCTAGAGGTGGCTGTTACCAACTATCATTTGATCAAGGAAAGGGAAAGTAAGAAGACTGATTCAAGAAGAAATACGGAACTGCCACTGAGAACTGTATTATTGTGACCCTGTTTCAAGGAGAAATAATACAGATTATAATCTTATTTATTTATATCATATAATCATGAAATAGTAGAGTTTTCAGGGGCCAAGAAGGCCATTGAATCCAACCCCCTGCCATTGCAGGACAGCAAGTTATACCATCCCACTCAGATGGCTATCCAGTTTCTTTTTGAATGCCTCTAGTGTGGGAGACCCCACCTCCTCTCTAGGCAGTTGGTTCCACTGTTGTATTGGTCTTACAATGAGGAGGCTTTTCCTGATGTCCAGCCTGAATCTGGGTTGTCGCAACTTGAATTGATTATTCCATGTCCTACACTCCGGCATCAGTGAGAAGAGATCTTGACCTTCCTCTTTGTGACAGCCTTTGAGGTACTTAATAGAGTGATATCATGTTCCCTCTGGGTCTTCTCATGCCTGAACATACCTAAAGACATTTTTTCTAAACCCTGGATCATTTTTGTTGCCTTCTTCTGGATCCTTTCTAATTTTTCTGCATCTTTCTTAAATCTTGGTGCCCAGAACTGGACACAGTATTCCAGATTAGGTCTGAATAGTGAAGAGTATAGGGGAACTACTACTTCTCAAGATTTGGAAGTGCTATTTCTATTAATGCATCCCAAAATAACATTTGCGCTTTTTGCAGCAGCATCACATTATTGGTTCATGTTTAGCCTGTTGTTCACAATAATTCCCGAGATCTTGTTCAGTTCTGTTGAGCCCTGTATTCCCCATCTTGTATCAATGCATTTGGTTTCCTTTTCCTAGGTGGAGGACTTGGCATTTGTCCCTATTGAATCTCATTCTGTTGCTTTCAGTCCAGCCTCCAAGTTTATCAAGATTACTCTCGATCTTTGTTCTATCTTCTAGGGTGTTCACTATTCCACCCAGTTTTGTATCATCTGCAGATCTGATCATTGTTCCTTGTACTTCCTCATCTAGGACATTAATAAAGATGTTGAAGAGCACTGGGCCCTGGACTGAACAGTGTGGCACCCCACTATTTACCTGTCTCCATTTTGAGAAGGTGTCATTGATGAGCACTCTGTGTGTCTGATTTATCAGCCAATTTTGAATCCACCTAATAGTTCTTCTGTCTAGTCCACTCTTTTTGCAAATTTGCCTATCAGGATGTTGTCTGGAGCACTATGCTGAAAGCTTTGCTAAGGTTGAGGTAGTTGTTTCCACAGTGTATCTGCAGTCCATTGGGAGATTAACCAGTCAAAAATGGTACTCGAGGTAGCTAACAATAATAGTTTAGCAAAATCTTAACATGTAACTAAAATTGGTACATAAAATACAGCAATAAAAGAAAGCTGTAATAAATAGCCTGCTATGGCAGGGAATTTGTGAGTTTAGGGGCATATGTTGCAAAGGTCCTCTTGTAGCCCACCAAAATTGTCTCTGAAAGCAATGGAACTGCAATATGGGCCTTTCTCAAAGGTTTTAAACCTGAGCTGGCTCGTATTGAAAAAGGCAGGCTTTCAGAAGCAGTACTTGGAATTATTCCGAGAAGCAGACGGGCACGCAAGGCAGTTGTTTTAACAATGGAGGTGTGTGCTTCCTGGAACCAGCCCTGGTCAATGGTCTAGCCACAGCATTCTGAACCAGGCACGCTTTCAATGGTAGCTTTGAAAGGTAGCCCAACATAGAGCCTATTATGGTAGTGTAAACGTGACGTAGTCCTAGCATACATGACTGTGATCAGATCAGACATTGCTAGGAGCAAGTGCAGTTGGTGCACTAACCTCAGGTGTGCAAACACACTTGTTGCAGCTGCTGACTTCTACATCTTGCTGACTTCTGGGCATCCAGATGTAGGGATGAATCCAGGAGCACATGACCTGTAGGCAAGATGCAATCTGATTATGTCACGAAGAGGTATTTATGACTACCCTTATTTACTTGGCCAAACCTGCTACACCCACTGCTTGCTTTTCTAAGCTGGAAAGGGCAAGGATCTAGCACAGATGTGGTAGGCCTCACCTCTCTCCTGATCTTGTCTACCTCTTCTAGCTGTACAGATTGAAAAATATCTGTTACAGCTGTATAAGCAGAGACCAAAGCTACAACTGGAACTGCATCGTCACCTAAGGCAACCAAGTTGGCATAGGTAGAGTTGATTTCTCCAGCAAAGTGTTCCCCAAATTGGTTACACTGAATTGAGCAATTCACATTTTCTTCTTATAAATCAGAATGTAATAGGTCTCTGAACAGCTCCCAAAGTTCCATTGATCAACTTTGTGCAGAGGTAATAGTGACAGAGAAGAACGGGATTATTTTAGCTATCATTGCCTCCGTGGAGTAGATCTCAGATGGCCTTTGTTAGGTTTGACTCATTCCAGTTCTTCTCTAGCATCACTCTGGTAGTCGCTCGACTACATGCCCAGCTTCATGGAAAACCAGGGAGCTTCTTTGGCTCTACCCAATGGGAAGGGACACTTAGGAGAAATTGTGTCAACTACCCAGGCCACTTCTTTGTTCCAGAGATCAACCAGGGCTTTGACAGAATCACCTGCCCAAGTGAAATGTAAATGTCCAAGAGGTGGCAGAAGACCATTTGGATCCATCAGTGTTTTGAGGCAGACCATCTTCAGACCCTTCCTCCTGCAGAATTAGGGATTCCATGACAATGGCGCTATATTATTATTATTATTATTATTATTATTATTATTATTATTATTATTACATTTCTATGCCGCCCCTTGCCGAAACCTCGGGGCGGCTTACAACATGATAAAATACATTGAAATACAATAGTACATAATAAATTACCATTAAATATAACAATACAAAAAATACATTGATTTACAAATACAAAATTAAAATTACCAGTATAAAATAAAAATATAGGAGGAGAAAGAGAAGGAAGAAGAAGTTGCCCAGGCCAGATCATATGTTTTAACAATTGAAATGATGTTTAAATAAAAGGCATAGCTCATTTTATTCAGGCAAACCTGCATTGAGTAAGTCTATCGGTGCCATTTTTCCAACAGCATTTGCTCACTTCATGTCTCTGTGTCACATTTTGGTAATCAGTCAGCAACCATCAACATGGAGACAAGACCCACCACCAGTAAAAAGATTACTAGTTTCTGAAGGCTCAGATGGTGGTTATCATTTTTTTTAACTATTAAGTATATTAATAAAGGTATGTACTTTTTTGGCATAATACTGTTACTACACTTAATAGTGTAAACAGAACTTTATATGCACTGGCAAACAAAACAAAAAAAATGCATGACTTGCTTTATTGTGATAAGCAATTTATTGTGGTGGTCCGGAATGGAAACACAGTAACTCCAAGATAAGCCTGTATAGAAATTCTCCCCACCCTCGAATTCCTATCACCCCACCTAACTGAGAAAGCTACATCTAAAGTCTGCCAAATGATTGAGGCTAGGTACCCAGTGAGACAGACCCATGGTTGCCACGAAGGCCGTTAAGTCCTGAATCGCTCCCGATTAGGCTGCTTCAGGATGAATGTTCAAGTCCTCCAGCACAACTCAGTTTGGTACTGGTATCTTTCTGCTATTTTACACATTTCTGCATGTGTAAAGTGTGTGCCTTGGATGTCTTTGTAAAACAGATTAATTTTTGACATTTATTTTCTGCTTTTAAGCACCCTAGGAACAAAGTAAGTCCTGTGTGTCTATTAATTGATGTACTGTTTGCAGAGTATAATTGTTACGTTGTTTCTTCTCTTTTTGAGACAATGTGCCTTAGCAGCACTGAATGATGTTCGGCGGTATCTTTGCGAGGAAAACGGGCATGTCGCGGTAAGTGTTTCTTTCCCCTATTGCTAAAGAAATGAATCCTAAATAATTCACTGATTGTACAGTTGGTTAGAGGCCCTTGTGTAATCTGGGCTCTAAATCTTGATTTGATAGTGGACTCCCAGCAGTTCACTTTCAGCATTATTATTACAAACCAGCATAACAACACAGCTGAGGGTGTATGAAAAAAAATGTGCCAGTATCAGAAAACATGATTTCTTGAATTCAGTATTTTCTGTGACTGGCTGCCATATTTGTGTCTTCAAGTTTGTAAGACATTTTCCTTTCAGCAGCTACTGACATCTCCTCCCTAAATAAAGTAACAATTTTGTACTGCTTGCTTTACTAATTTGCTTTGTAAGCTACTAACAGAAGGCGAATTCCCTAGAAAGGGGAATCAAACTGTGTAATATACAGATCAACTAAAGGTGCAATATTGTTCAAACTAGCAATTCAGTAGCAGGCATGTCTTAGAGCAGAGGAAAAGAGGAAAGAAACAAATTTTTGGGTGGGTCAGCCAAAAACTTTTGGAGGTATTTCTTATTTGAAATATCTTCTCAGCTGTCATCACTGTATGTCCTCAACAGCATTTGAAATATTTTTATCTTTCTCTTCATAAGCTTTCTTTAAAATTTCCATGAGGAAAGCACATCGTTGTGGGGATGATAGAGAGGGTGTGCAGTGTCTTTAGGAACAGAAATAAATGATAAGCTTACTGATATGACAGCCAAACAACCTTGTTCACGTTGTTGGTCTTTAGCTGATAAACTTCATGCAGCTGTTGCTGGTGGCTGTTTTCTAAACTAATCTTTCAAGTTGCTTGAGTAGGCTTCAGGGTAAGAGAGCTGTTCTTCTCCTTTCCTTTGTGGTTTATGGAGGGGCAAGGATGGACACAGGCAGAAATGTGTGTGGAGGGCAGCATCACACTGAGAAAGCAGATCATTTCCTACATATGCCGTACTTACCATTGTTTGTGTCCAGTCCACTGGACTCATAGCATTTTTTCAGAAATTTAGATCCAGTCTTCTCATGTTACGAATCAAATTTTAATCAGGAGCATCTTCAGTGGGTTTGACTCTCTAGTTCAAAATCCATCCATGGGAAAGATGTTAATTAGCTAATGTTTGCAGAACACCGAGAATAGTTTGTTCAATTTTTCCAGCAGAAACTTAATGATACCATTTAGTCATTTTCTTTTTTGTAAAAGTGTGGCCTTTGTGGAATGATTTTTCTATCTGTTCTGTGTATTTGTTACACAGTGTTAAAAACAAAATTAAAAAAGATAAGAGAAAATGTAGTGCCTTTGTTCTTTAGTTGAACTTTCCTGGTTATTTTCGGACGGGAACTTCTCGTGCCTTCTCAGTACATGTGCTCACCGCTCTGTTTTGCTTTCTTGCTTTTAAGGCTTGCACAGTCCCCGCTCCAAACTTGGAGCGAGTTCCTGAGGTTGAAGTTTAGTCCCTGAACTTGTAGTGCCCTCCCCAACCCTTGCTTTCTGTATTTGTCTTTATGACCGAATATCTAATTTTCAGTTGGGCATGAATCATGCGGCTAGTGGTTTGCGGGTTGATTGGGACAGGGTGAAAGGCATTTGGTTTCCTTCGTTTTTTAATGTTTGATATAGGAACAGAGTAGAGTGCCGTGCTGTGATAAGCGGTCATGTAGGGTCACGTGTAGCAACAGACCATGAGTTACATGATCCAGTGTCTGTTACACGCATGTAGGAGAGGGGAGGCCAGCTGTTCGCAGCAAGCGGGTTACTTCTGCTTTTAATCAACAAGCTATGAGCTTTGTAGGTTGTTGAGCATGACATGTGAACCTGGAGTGCTGGGTAGCTTAGGGGCAGGGTTGACCACTGGGTTGGTGGTCACTTAAGCAACCAGGGCATTCTGGATTCACAGTTCATGCTCAACCACCAACAAATGGACCAATGGTAGGTGCTGCATATGGCTTATTTAATTAGTTGTGGTACTAATTAATTTGGTTAATTAAATACAACGCAAACTAATTGTATGGTTACCACTTATTGTTACCACTTACCACAAACAGTTCAAGTCAGAGAAGGCCTGGGTGAACAAGTGTGTTTTCAGGACACATTTGAAGTATATTACATTTAACCGGTAGCCTTTCATTATGCATGAACCAGGCCAATGCTTTCATCCTGTCTGTTGTTTTGTTTGCGAGAATACTTTTAAATGTTGTGTGTGTAGAGTAAGCCCTGACAATTAAAGGGGAATTAAATTTCTTTTAAAGAAAGGATTAAGCTTCCAGTACCAACTTTATTTCCATGAACGCCTCTGGATTCCGCATAGCCCAAGAGGCATTCTTAGAAAAGAAAAATGGCAGAAAGTTGATTTGTCCTCTAAAACAGTATGACTTGTTTATTTTTGCCTTAGGTTTTTGATGCAACAAACACTACAAGGGAACGTAGAGAAACCATTTATACATTTGGGGAGGAAAATGGCTATAAGGTGAGTTAATAGCAAAGATAGCAGAATGTCACAGTAGTGCCTGTGCTGTTCTTTGAGCAGTGAGTGTTTTTCATGGGGTGCTTATCAGTAGCATCCTGTGGAAAAAGTATTTTCTCCATTAAATCATGCTGATTGCATCTCATACTGCGAAGTTAATCAGTAGCCCTGCTTGCTGATTTGGCTTAAATGTAACCATTAGCAGTAACTGCTGTTGTCACTGGATATGAGAGATGATTTTGTTTGGTCTAGGATTTCTGACACCTTTCTAGGTATTATGTGATAGATCACTAACTGTTACATCAAATTGCCTTGCTAATGCACTTTTCCTGTAACTGAAGGGGGCAGGGGGTTGGAGGAGATCTTCTTTTTCTTGCATCCCCCAAAAGTCATCTTGTATCGAACTCAACCTTAAATGCATCTCTGTTTATTCATAGTTCTGTGATACAGCCATTGGAAAAACCTTATTAATACTTTAATTACTGGTAGGTGTAGTCAGTTTATACTCCTTATAAACTAATTTTCCACTGTTTGTGCCTGTGTCCCTGCTTCAGCACAGCACTGCATGGGGAACAGATGGAGTGGCAGCATGCTCTGCTTCCACATGTCTGAGGGCAAATTGTATATTTTTATCACTTCCGGGAGGCTCCCAGCCTTTCCCCAACCTTCACCGTGCCGTTTGACATTGGATGACTTGCCTTCTTCAGTGGTAACTTTTCATTAAAGTTGTGCTCTCTGGAAGAGCATGGAATTAGCTGAGAAATACATGCTAGTTGCTCTCTGAAGGGAATGTTGAAGACCTGGCAAAAGAAATGTTTGATGCTCAGACAAACCTTGCAACAATAAATGTGCAACCGGCTAGACAAGGCTTTTGTGCCATATTGCTTCTGACCCTTCTTTTTTCTTTCTCCATACCTCTGATTCCTGTTTGGTGCAAAGACCTTTTTCGTGGAGTCAGTATGTGTTGATCCAGAGGTCATTGCTGCAAATATTGTTGTGAGTAGCAACTTCTGTTTTAAAGGGAGCGGGGAAAGTTTGTGCTCTCAGGGTCCTTTCCAAGTCCACTCATGGGATGCAGTTGTTTCCCTCCCCTGTGTTCTTATCTAATGCAATATTTTTGGTGGTGCCAGGAAGACTTAAGGAGTGCACATTTTTGATGTAATTTATTGCTGACATCTGCAAATAGAGGAGCACAGTCCCCAGAGCATTCTGCATTTCATTTCCTGCTTTTCTTTGCTAGGTCTTGTACATTGTAAGGCTTTGCTAGAAGTGTTTTGGACTAAAATCTGGCATTGTCTTGCTTCAATTTCCTCATGCCTATTGCCTCATTCTACCTCATTTTTAACTACTATTCTTCATTTTGGCTAATTTCACAAACATCATCCAATTATCCATGATCATACAGCTGGCATTCAATCGCAATTTCAGTTTCATGTGTCCTTTTGTGATGTTGTACCTCTGTGTCATTCCCAGATCATTGCACCTTGTTAGCCAAAGTTAAAACACTGGCTCTTGAATGACCTTTTTTCATAAAGTAAATATTGTTGATTAAGCCTGTGCTCCATTTCTATGTAGATCTCCTAGTGGTTTCTCATCCAGGTCTTTAATCAGGTCAGCACCTCCTTAGCTTCAGCTTCCAGAGCATTAACTGAGCTGCTGATGATTACATTGTAAGAGCCCTCTCCTCTTCTTTAAAACAAGTAAGCAAGCAAGCACACACACATGTATACCGGAAGGAGCTGGGCTGTACAGGTCCATAATAGAGTTTGTAAATTCCATAGCAGAAGCCTAGGAAAATGCCTTATACCAGATCAGTCCATTTGTTATTTAGCACCTTGTTCTCCCTGCATACTGCTAGCTTTTTTCCAGGAGTTTCTGATGGAAGTCTTTCCTAGCACTTCCTGGAGATGCCAGGGATTGAACCTGAGATGTGTGTTTACAAAGGATCTCCTCCTCCTCTTAAGCCTATGGTCCCTCTCCAAGAAAGAAAGAACAACCTAATAGCCTAGTTTTAAGAAAAATGCAAGAGAAGTGCATGAAGATTATTTCTTGGTCACCAAGGCACAAAATTGAAAGGAAATAAAATGTGAGAAAAGGCTGGCATAAGCACAATGGATCCGAATGCATACGAAATGCATAGGAAAAAGAATATCCTATCAAGTGTAACAAAAAGCAGGGTTCTCTGAGGATAACAGTTTATCAGCCACATCATCCTTCCTGTAGCTACTTTTAACTTGTCAATTTTTGCAGCATTGGTTCCTCAATTACTTTTTTTTGTTGGGATCCACAGAGAGTATTTTCAGTTCTTTTTCCGTGAAGATGACTATTTGATACCTTTTTTTTCAATATTAACAGTTACACTGACTATCTCATATCTCTCATTGTATGGAGGAATGTTGACTTTTTTTTAAAGCATTCTTGTTTCTTTTTTTCTTCCTTGATTAGCAAGTGAAATTGGGCAGTCCTGATTATGTGGACTGTGGTAGTGATGAGGCTACCGAAGACTTCATGAAAAGGATTGAGTGTTACAAGAATACATACGAAACACTAGATGAAAATCTTGACAAGTAAGTGACCAAACAAGTCTTGATGTTGCTTATCGTGTTTGCTTTCACAATCTTACATTCATCCATGATATTGTGCCCTTCTTCTTACTTGAGTCTTGATCAACTTATGTCTGGCTGAGAAACACTACTTTAGATTGCAGGTAAGTAGTGTGCATTTGGTTTAATTCTTTTCCATATAATATAATTCCATGTGCATGAAGACATTTTAAATATCAGGAGGAAAAGTTCTGCTCTAGCTTTCTCCCTGTCATGCTGATACGGGAACTCTTACTTACAGTCTTGAAATGATACAGCCCGGGTATAAAAGTGCCATCTTTTAGGCCCATGTCACCGCATGGTAACAGCAGCCTTGCAGTTATCAACATTTACTTGGCTGCTTTCCCATATATTCCTCAGTGAACCATTCTGTGACACTTTTCCCTGAAAAGATAGGTGAGGAAAACAACAGCAAACCAATTTCGTTCCAGTCTGCATAAACTTCCTAATCTGGTTACCTATAGGCATTTCTTACTCACCACAGGCAACCAGGCAGGTTGCTAAGTACAAGTGTCATTATCTGTGATCTGTAGTTTTTACACAACATTCTCCAGGTGTGTATCTGAGTAGGAGGAAGAAGTGTGAATTTTATTATGTAGAACTAGGACTGATATTTTGCAATATCAATTGCATGCTAACAAGACATACTTGAAAAAGGATAGCAAATATGAACTCTAAAACTTCAGCAGAATGAGCCCTAATGAATGATTCATCAAAAGTAGCTTTTGGAGAAAAACAGTATCTGTGTTCAGAGGTGAGAATTTTCAGTTAGTCCTGATTTACACATGCAAATCTAGAAACACTGGCCTTTGGCCAGGCTGGTTTCCTTTAATGTACACTTCACTTCTAGGAAGAAAGAAATTGTTACCTGTGCATGAGATTTGGTTGACATATGCTTTGACAGTGGTTCTTTCGTGGGATATAATATGGAACATTTGGAACAGTATCTTCTCAATTCATTATCTGGAGTCCTACCTATGCGTTATACTTAGATGGGGGAAACTCATTCCAGGTCCCTGTGGGCAAGAAATGAAGCTGCAGACTAAGTATTATCATTTTGCAAGTAGTTTCTCTCTCTCATTATAACAGGGATCTTTCTTACATTAAAATCATGGATGTTGGAAGGAGTTATCTTGTGAACCGAGTAATGGACCATATCCAGAGCCGGATTGTTTACTACCTCATGAATATCCATGTGACTCCTCGCTCTATCTACCTCTGTCGACATGGTGAAAGTGAGCTAAATCTAAAGGGAAGAATAGGAGGAGATACTGGATTGTCTCATAGAGGGAAAGAGGTATATGTTGTGATAATGTGGCTAACAGTAGTTTTTTTGTTGTATTCAATCACTATGCATCCAGACTTAATTTTAAAATTTAAACTTACCATTTTAAGCGTGTATCTGCCTTGCTTTAAGCTTTCCGAGGCTGAAGATCAAGGCAGAGGCTTGGCTCCAGCAAACTGGGAGGAGGTTTGGACAATGGGACTTTCCAGCTTCCCCCTTTTGCTGCAGCCGCTTTTCTGTCCCCTTTGCAAAGTCACTAGTGAGGGTCAGGGGACATTCAGGAATGGCGTGAAATGTGACAGGAGGCTGTGGTAAGAAGGGGGATTGGATTAGATCGGGGGACCCCACTTTCAAGAGAGGAAGTGACTTGTGCTTGGACAGTCCCCCTGTGCCATTCAAGCCAGAGGATAGTCTTGCTTGAGTAAATGATCGTCGCATGTAAGAATCCTACTTTGTGTCTCTGACATCAAGTGCCAATAGAATTGTTGCATTGAAGGCTGACGCAGGTCCTTTTGAAAGACAGCGTTGTTTCACAGTTAGAAGCTTAGGACCTCCCGGCATCTGACTTGAGTGGAGTATGTCAGCTGTGATTACTTCCTGTAACATCTTTTAATTAAATGTGCTTTCCAGTTTGCCAAGAGCTTGGCGCATTTCATTAATGAGCAGAACATCAAAGATCTGAAAGTGTGGACGAGCCAAATGAAAAGGACCATTCAGACTGCAGAGGCCTTGGGAGTGCCTTATGAGCAGTGGAAAGTTTTGAATGAAATTGATGCGGTAAGATGCTCTCATTGTGGGCTTTTTGGGGGGAATGAGATGGATTCCATGAGGCAATATTGGGCCTGCTGGAGGTGTGGGGCCTATTAAGATGCTAAGGCTGCAGGGCTTATTTTTAAAAAACTCCTCAGCTTGAATGGCAGATAACGACACTCATGCATCGACAGACCCTCTTGTGTAATGCTGTAAAGGATCTGGCACGTGATTTGCTGGCACTTAGTCTGTGAAATAAGTGGTGGCTTGAGTTTCTACAAAGTTTGACCAACCCTGCAAGCCGCAAACAACATCTTGCAAACACAGCAGGGTAGGAGAGCTCCTAGTTCCTCTCTCTTCTTTTCAGCTTCTTCAAAGGTTTACAACATGGGCAGTCGCAGCCCACAGGCTTCCTCCTCCCCACCACAGTTAATGTCAGTGCATATTAAACCAGGGAGGTTAGTTCTCACCAATAGTTTGATTTTTTTTTTTAAGAAACCCAGAAATAGACTTTGAGATTGATGTCAGCTCTGACCGAGCAGATCAAGTTCTGCAGCAGGGTGAAGCAAAGCATTGGGGGTAGTGCCTCTCGGTGTTCAATCCGTGTACAAGCAGAGTGTCCTCAGAGCGGCAGAGAGTTGCATGCCTGAGGCCATCTGGTGAGTTCATGGCCAAGATGAATTGGAAACTTGACGCGCAATTTCTCACAGCAGTTCTGCTTTCTTGCTTCTGCAGGGAGTCTGTGAAGAAATGACATATGAAGAAATTCAGGAAAATTATCCATTGGAATTTGCTTTGAGAGACCAGGACAAATATCGGTACAGATATCCTAAAGGGGAGGTATGTTACGCTCTTTTTCTTCCTAGTAAGCTAAGGATACACAAACCTTGGTCTTCCAGTAGGGTGCTGGAAGCCATGGTAGAATAAAATACTTTTAAGGCAAAGTGAGTGTGATGGCTGTTCTCACTAGTTACTTACACTGTATTGGGAAACACACCAGAATCTGTGTTCTTATTCTCCTCTGTGATAGCACTAAAATATATATCAGATTCTCATTTGTTTAGAAAAGTATTACATCATAGCAAGACCGATGTCATGGTTGTTGCCAACACAGGCACAATTCAAATTCTAGGCAAGGTGGAGATATTTTGCCACTTCTGCAGGCGTTGGAAAACATGTCCAAATAGCTTTGCACTTTCTTGAACACACGGCGGGAGAGCGGTGCTGAGCACGTTCTTCTGTGCCCCAGTATCCCTCCTTGACAGGCTCCTCTTTGGACCTCCATGAAGGTCTGAAAGGGGAACCAGCACACGTCTGGCTGGACACCCACAGCCTGTGAGGAATAATTTGTGAAGAGGGTTCAGAGGAAGGCACATGGCTGAAGCTGTTAGGGGCTGGTCAGCCTGGCGTTTCACATGCTGTCTTCAGAAGTCAAGCCTCAGGAGAAAGCATTGCTCAGAGCAGCTGTCAGTGCTAGCGGAACATCAGCTGGGAGCACCACCTACCCCAAGCCAACCGTGTGCTCACAATGCCCAGAATAGGGCTGGAATACAGATGGCCATTATTTATTGTTTGTCCAAGCGGCCGTGTTGTAATGGGTGTTCAGTGATACGGAAAGCTTTCTAGAGCTGCTTGCTGTCCTTCCATTTAGAAGATGAATTGGTGCCCTTCTGTGTTTGCTTTCTCGAAAGCTAGACCTTGCTTGATCACGAAGGCTGAGGCTGCTCTGGCTGTGCACTGCCCATGAGCTCCTCACAGTTGTGGAGATGTGTCTTTTGCCAGAGCTGCAAGACTCCTGGTCCCCTGGACTGCCTCTGTACCTCCCAAGAGCCCGAGTTCTTTGGGCACTTGACATAGGTGCACTGCTGACCTGCCTACACCTTCCAATCACAATCCGCCCGCCTGCTAAATTCCATCTTTGTGAATGAACATTAAAAGACTGTAAGCTAAAGAATGATTACCTAAGGGTGCATTTCTGTGGAAAGTTTCCAGCTTCCTCAAAAGATCGCTAATAGAGCTTGCCTAATTATAGATGGGAAGTACCCAAAGTGCTTTGACTGTTGAGCAGTATAAACAAATAGATGATTCCACGAAGAATATAAATCGTATAAATTGCCACAGTGTTTGCTAAGCTTTAGAAAAAGATGGTCAGAAAACTCTGAATGGTACAGTACATGAACTCTAAAAGCACATCAGAAAAAGCTGTGACTAATCAGCCCATTATCTTCTGCATCCCTAAGTTGAATATATGGATTAACTTTGATAATGTATAGATATCTCTGTGTGTGTGTATGTGGATGGGAGGAAAGGGGGTACGTGCAGCATTCACAAGAGTGTTCTGTGTGCATCTTCTCATATTCATGGCCAGATCTTTCCTACAGTCTCCATTAATTTTCCATTCACCACTTCACTTGGGTTGTGAGTACAGCAGTCTGTTAAGGGTTAAGAAACCAGTACAGATTGGGTTTTCTGGCTAGCTGGGGCATGCTGGGAGTTGTGGAACTTTTTCATGTCTAAACTTACATAGGATTGGGCCTCAAAAGGTTTATGGTACCCAAGCTGGACACTGCTCTGCCTGCTGGTTAGGAACGTACAGGAAAATTGCAGTATTGGATGTAGTCTTTCCAGATATGACTTCTTCCTGTGAAATATGAGAGAGAAATGGGGAAATATTGCAGAGATAAAAGGGAGAGTGGGAAGGTCAAGGCAAACTAATAAAGAGCAGAGAGAGAGAGAGTTTAATCTGCCTGAAGGTGAATTGCAGAGTATTGAGGAAAACCATGTGCTAGGAGACTGAAATGGGAAAGGAACCAAAGTACCTTTTGCTTCCCCATGTAACAGTGTGATACTGCTCCTCACAGTTTTTTGCTTGATTCAGACAGAATAAACTGATCTACCTTCTGAAATGTACTTATTTGTTTAGAACTCTTACAAGCTGCTGAAAAGTGGAAAGATGGCTTGCAATAAGAATAGTGTATCAATGGAAGGGCTGCTTCACCTTTAGCAGCTTATGTGTCAAGCAGCAACTCTACCAGTGCAACTTTGGTACTCTTTGCATCTGTGAGCTGGGTAAAAGTTCATTCAGATTTCCATTTCTGGCACAGTGGCTTAACTTTAACCTTCAAAGGCATAGAGGCCTGCCAAGAAAAAAATGCTGGCGACCATGCACTGGGAAAAAACAACTTCCTTTAGCAAACACACAGTGCCTTCTTATCAGAGAATCTTCTCCTTGCATAAATGCACTGGACTGAATGCTTCAAGCATCTGTTAATTTAACTAATTTCCTGCAACTGTGTTTTTCTCCCCATAACATGGCAGCATAGCATTTATCCTGTATATACAGTCACAATTGTTTAACAGTTTGCCATTTCAAAATACAATATCCAAACAAATGGGTAAAACTGCAGTTTTATGTTTTTGGTGCTAGTGAGCTTCAATCTTAATCAAAGATTACCTGCCTATATTGATTATACGAGCTAGAATTGTACAGGTCTCTTGATGGGTTGCTCAGTTACGTGTTTCCTGGACCACCATATTTTTAATGTTATCAATAAATTAAGCTTTATTTTGAGTCAGCGTGTTAAAAATATGCTTTTGAGTCATGAACAGCTATACTGTTCTGGAAACTCACTTTTTTTGTCAATTCTCCCCTGCTCCAGTCCTATGAAGATCTTGTTCAGCGGTTGGAGCCAGTAATTATGGAGCTGGAAAGGCAGGAAAATGTGCTTGTAATCTGTCATCAAGCTGTCATGCGCTGCCTGCTTGCTTACTTTCTGGATAAGCCTGCAGGTAGGTAGGTCCCTTTTGCCTGCAAATGCTCATGGAGAATTTTCAGCTTGGTCTGTCAGCAGCAAGTTTGATATGGATTTTCTAATGGTGCTCTTATCTGTCGAATTTGCCCATCAAAAATGTGCATGCAAATGGGTGTTCTTGACACATCATGGCTCAAGTCGCCTCTGGCTTCAGGTGAAGCCATTCCATAAGTCAAGGGTGGGAAAATTTAGGAGCTGGGAGCCAAATGGGCTCTGGGCAAGCACAGTGGGGGCAATTGTGTGTGTGGAGGGGGGAGGTGCCAATGGGACCGTCCAGGCTAAATCCTCCCTCTCTCACTTTCACCTGTGTGCACTTGCATGCAGACCATGCGATGCTCCTTCTCCATCCTGACCCCTGCCCCATGCTGCAGCCCTCCTCCTTTTGAAGGGATCATAATGTTGGGAATGGGAGGTTGGTCCCTCACTCTGTAGCAGATCCCTCCAAATCAAAATGCCCCCCATGCTGCAGTTAGGCTTCAGAATGGGCTTTTACAAAAAGGCTTGTGGCGCTGTATTGCTTTGAATGGAGAGAACTGCAGTATTGGCTTGGAATTGTGATTGGCAAGAAAGATTTTCATCTGGAACAGAATCTGGTGGGCTGGATGGGCCCCCGTAGCCCTCTTTGGGCTATTGCTTGCCCCTTTCCTGCTACAGGTGGCACACAGACCGCTTTTGCTTTGCTTTGCTTTTCTGGAGCATTAGGGTTTTCTTTTCCTCTTTGGAACACCTGAACCTTAAAGAGAATTTGGGGAAGCCATTCTCTGGATTCTTCTGCCAGCTGAGGTCAGGGGAGTGGAGAATACACTTTCTTCCTGGAGGTTCTGTCAACATCTTTGTGCTTTGCACACACAGTTTTGGGCATGTAGACATGTTCTTTTATTCAGGCCTTTTATTCTAGGCATTGCAATGTGCTGCTGCTTCCAAGTGGACAAAATTTTGAATAGAGCTGGAGCTGCAGCTGCAGTGATGTTGCTTTTTTTGCCTTTTTTTTTCGCATAAACCATTGAAGATTGAGGTTTGGTACAAATCTGCCAGATAATAAATAAGTAGAATAATTCACCAATTCTTGTCAAAAGAGATGCCTTTATCTAATTTACACAGAAAGTGCTTTGGGAAAACGGCAACTGTTTTGTTTTTTCTTTTTAGAACAACTGCCTTATCTTAAGTGCCCGCTGCATACTGTCTTAAAGCTAACCCCAGTGGCTTACGGTAAGCAATGCAAAACCTAGCTTCAGAATTTACCTTGTACTCAAATGGAGCATAAATTTTATGAAAAATGGAACATTTATAGGAGGCAGGCTGCTGGTTGTATTCTGATGTTAATTAATCGTATGCAAAAAAGAATTATTGGCTGTTTACAAAGAAAACAAATTCAGCAAAATGTTTTATGGTGATTTATACCACAGTCCTCCCTACCCATGTCTGCTTTGAAGTAAGTTCCATTGAATTTAGAGAGCCAGCATCATGTAGTGGTTGAGAGTGCAGGACTGGGACTCGAGTGATCTGGGTTCGAGTTCCCGCTTAGCCATGGAACTCATTGGGTGACTTTGGGTCTGTCACAGACTCACAGCGCAACCTACCTCACAGGGTTGTTGTTGTGGGGATAAGATTGCGAGCAAGAGGAGGAGGGAGGAGAATGATGTAAGCCACTTTTAAGTTCTTTAAAAAGAAAAAAGGCAGAATCAAAATCAAATACATAAATGAATTTAGTAGAGCTTATTCCCAGGTAAAGGTGTTTTGGTTAGGCATATATGGAAGGAATGTTCCTTCAGCTAACCTGGAAATGATGTGTTGCAGAGTGTTCTTATTCAATGCTGCAGCCAGCCATGCTGCCCTTCAGGTCGCTCCATTCTGTCTCATCCCCACTTTCAGTTTTCCATTCCTCCTGTAACAAATCAGTGTTCTGTTCCTACTGAGCATGCAAGGCCTCATTGGGCCAGCTTGGGGTTCTACTCATTCCGATTTTCATCATCGTTATCAGATGATGATGATGATGATGGTGTAGTCCTGCATACCTTAGGGTTTCCCCAACCCTTTGGATGCTTTCTTCTACTGTGTGGATGGTGCTCTTTTGCCAGTCTGAGGTTCCACATTCAGAACAACGAATTGGCTCTTGGTGTACAACACCATGTTGTGTTGGTCCAGTAACACCATGACATGCTCTTGGCAGCTGAAAACTTTACCATGTGTCTTGTTTTTAATCTGTTTGTTGCTTTTAGTTTCCTTTCTGTCCTCTGTAGATTACTCAAAACTTCTGACACAGAATAAACTTGATAGAGAACCGTAACCAAAACTTTAATCCAGCATTTTTACACACTAGCTAATTCAGAAAGAAGGCAATCTTACCATTGGCTGTGTTGTTTTATTTAGTTATGCTTCTAAACAAAGAGAAGTGTGTAGTGACATCTAGTGTCCAAAATGTATCATGAGTTGCAAATACACTTGATAGGTCCAAGATGGATTTATGTAAGGCAGGCGGGATCTATTTAGGGATGGTTTTACAGGAACCTTAAGGAACAGCTCTAAAGTCTGATGTGTACAGTGGCCCAGGGCAGAGTTAAAAAACATGGCACTCCTGAGCACATGGCTCAGACCAAAAATTGGTTTGCAGTATCACATAATTCATTTAGTGGGCATATATATTTCATTTTGAAATTGGCATGTTTACATAGGAAACCATATGTCTTGAAAAGCTCTGTGTTTAATAGTATGCCTAATAAGTTCCTTATTTTCATATCAAACAAACTCAGACTGTTGAGGTTTGCCTCCACTGAAACTGACCACAGACGTTCACACTAGCAACTCGGTGAACTTTAAAGTGACAACAGGGCTGTCGAGGAGATCCCAGAGGCGGCAGGTGGTGGTGATGGGGGTGGGGGTGCTTCCTGCCTGCTCCTGAACTGCTGAATGTGAGATGTCAGAAAAGTCCTGAATGTGCACATAATGAGTTAAGGGCCCTGCCAGGGTCATCTGTACATTTCCCCATCACTCTGAGGGAATATCCAAAGCACTAAAGTTATGGAAAGATGAGTCACTCTGACTTTGTGCCTCTGGACACCTGTGCTTGTAGCCATGAAGGAAATGACACTGGAAAAGCTGGTGTGAAGAGGCTGCCGGTGCAGTTTGTTCGTTAGCCCTTTGCCAACGTATCTCCAGTATTAATTTGAATTACAGGCAAGAAGTTACCATTCTAAATAAACTTCAGGGATGTGAGCAGGAGAGGTTTAAAAAAACAAAGCAAAACCATTGCAGTGGCTCTTTCTGTTTCTGCCTCTAGGTTGCAAGGTGGAGTCCATATTTCTGAATGTCGAGGCTGTAAATACGCACAGAGACAAGCCCCAGGTATGTCTCCTCGCCCGGCTGGACTTGGAGCTCTACAGAAAGGTCTCTTCCGGGGCAGGGGTGGATCCAAGGGGAGGAGCTGCCCATGGGGAACGGGTTGTTCACTCTTCCTCCTTGCAGTGCTTCTCTCCTTCAGGCCGCCCATTCCTCCAGCTGTTTTTGGTTTATTGATACTTTGAAAAGGGTACTGGAGGAATGCTATAAACATATAGATGCGGTGTCTGGTTTGGCTCTAGAGTAAAGCCCACTCTGGGCATTAGTTAACTGCTGATACCCAAACTGCCCTGGGGAGCCTCTTTAGGGGTTAGCTCTGTGTGTGTGAAGCAGAGCTCATGTGGTCTGGGCCAGTGTGTGTTTTTTATCCTCTGTGATCTTGAAATCCATGCCTTGTTCTTCATCTCAGACAAAAGCCCATGATTGTTTTCTCTGGAATGCTTAAAGTTGGTGCAAACCTTGCCTGACAGACATTGCCTGGAAGGGAGCCTGCCTGGCTTGCCAATGGAGCACCCAGAGTGGGTCTTGTATACTGCAGTCACACGTCTGCAAAGCCCCACAGTTTGGCTAAGAACAGCTCCAATGCATGCCATGGTGGGAGTGGCAGTGTGGGACAAACCATGGGTATTGGCGTCCCAGATAATAGAAACCTGATGGACATGCTTGTTTGAGTGGGCTATAAATGCCAGTGATGTGGGAATGCAGCATTTCCCACGCTTTGACTTGAAGCACTTCTTGTGCTTCGGGCTAATCATGGACTCTCAGCCTGACCTACTTCACAGGGTTGTTATTGTGAGGACCGAATGCTGAGAAGGACGATCTTGTGAGCTTCCTTGGATTCCTTGCTGTGGGAAGAAAGATGGGATATAAATAATGTAGCAGTAGTAGTAGTAGTAGTAGTAGTAGTATATAATGTAGCAGTAGTAGTAGTAGTAGTAGTAATAATAATAATAATAATAATAATAATAATACATGCCATCTATGCATGTTTAGGCAGAAAAATCCCAGTTGTAGGCTGGCTGAGGTTGTAGAACATTTATCTGTTTACATGTGCACTTAATAAATAATTTGGTGAGCACTGGTAAAAGTGGTACAGTACATGGTTAGTTTCAGTGGCCTGGACTACACGCACTATCTTGGGTAAATTATAGTATTTTTTTATAAAGGATACAGTATGCTTTTAGAGTCTGACAAGTGTTTTGTACAACAAAGGGAGATTTATTTTCTGGTAGTTCTGTTGTCTTTCTGTAAGAATACGTGTGTTCTTTGGACCTTTCCCTTATTTTTAGTCAAAATCATTACCCCTTTCGAACTGCATGGTGGCATCTTAATTTGGCGTGTGGTGTCTCAGTGGATTTAGCTGTGAAGTGAGGCTCTTTGATAGCTGGTGTGCTTTTCTCGGCTGCAACCATGGTGAACTATGTGTAACTCTTGGGAGGGGTGGTTTTGTGTTCAGGGAAAATGATGCTGCTAGCAGGAGGCAGAGCCAATAATGAGATGTTTGATGAAAGTCTAAAAGCTGCCACAAGCTGCTTGAGTTAACAGAATGCTTACTTGACTGTTTTTATTATGCTAAGTTGTTCTGTTGGATCTGAATGTCGCGTTCTTAGAGCAGCCTCAATAACATTATGTATCCTTGATCAAGGAGTGTTCTATAAATGGCACATCCACTGCTGTTTGATTGGTGGGAAGATGTTAATGTCCTGTTTCAGTGCTACGAGTATAATAGGTCTTTGTAAACCCGTTGCGCTTTTGGAGCACTCTTCCTTACAATTTGCAGGTCTGAGAAAGGAGTCCATATGTTAGCCTGCGTTGGTGGATATTGTGGCACAATATTGGCATTTAGCCTTGTCAGGCTTTATGCCACATAATCATTTGAGACTGCGACGAGAGAGAGAGAAGGAAACAAGAACTGAATGACAACATAAAAAAGAGTATATTTTCAGATTTAGGATTTGGTGCAGTCAGGTGGTTATGCAGGGTTGCAAGAGCTATTTACTCTGTAATGGGAAAACTGTCCCTTAGGATTGAGCCGTAAATTTACTTTTAGTGGGAAATAAGGACCACCAAAAGTGTGGTGTCTTATCATTGGGTTCTTGGTCATGGTAGCCATGTATCAAAATTATACTGCATCTTAGATGAGTGAAAATGGTAGCTGAGATTTTCTCCTAAAATAGCTCCCACTCTTACAATCTCTTGCCTACCATTGCCTCATGATTTTTTAGTTAGACATTGCATGAAACTAGTTTTTGATTGACTTGAACTTGGGTTGGTTTTTGCTTTGTAGGAATATTTTAGAAATCTCCAATATAAAAGAGGTTGGGATGTTGAAAGTACATGAGTATTATAACGTGTTCTTAGTAGCAGGTTAAACTACATTTTATTGAAGTAACTATATAAGCTAGTTGTATAATGTTGCCCCAGATTATTAGTCCACCAGCAGAAGATTAGTGATGTAATCCTATGCGTACTGAGTTGGAAATAATTGCTATGAAACACCCTGAGATTTAACTTCTGTGTAAGGATGAATAGGAAGGGAGTTCCACTCTCTGTGTTTGCTAGTATACAGTTAAAAACAAAGATGCTGGATTTTCAAGAAGAAATGAAGGGCTAGCATTTGTTACTTTAAGAAGTTCAGCTGTTTACAAGTAAAAAGGGCTGACTGATGATGTTGCATGATAAACATTTTCCTCTGTATTTTTATTATTACACAGAATGTAGACATTTCGAGACCTCCTGAGGAAGCCCTTGTAACTGTCCCTGCTCACCAGTGAATCCTGAGTCCTGATCAGCTATGAACCATGTGGTGCTGTTTTCATCATATTATATTACATTTATTCTAATAATTCCAATCACTTTGGAATCAATGGCAGATAATACCAGTTTTTGTGTAACGCATGATTTTTGAAACCCCGCAATCAGATCCTATAAAGCAAATTTAATTCATCCCACCCAAATTAAAATTAATTCAATGACTGGTTTCTATGATACCAATTGAATGACAATTGATAATTTTAAAACTGATGTTTTATGTCCATTTTTAAGGTGTTGTATCTTGAAACTTGATTGGAAGATAAGATGGGATCACTGCAAGTTCTTGCTAATGTTTATCATAAGTATTTATCTTTTTTCTGGAGTGATTGGATTGCTTTACATAGAAGAGCATAACATAACAACATCATCTGACATTAGTCCTACTAGTGCGTAGCATCAGTGACAGAGATATGACAGCTGACTAATTGCTTAACTTTGGATTGTTGGCAGGGATATGGGTGGTCGATTCCAACTTTGTGCATTTTTTAAAAAAAATCTAATATGGCTACAACATTTCGTTGATCAATCTGATTAATTGATTACAATAAGTTAATTGGGTGGCAGTTTTTAATAAAGTATTTTATTATAAATACTTATAAGAACGGCAGATAGTTTAAAATGATTCCATGTACCATCTGAAGAGGCATTTCCCTTTTCCCTCATGTAGTAGGAATAAACAGACATCCAGCATCTCCATCGAAGCAAGTGTGCCGCTTGCCTCCGGATGACTTTCTACTCACATATTTCTTTATATAAATGCCAATGTATTGGTTAATCAACTAATGTATTACTAGGATTTCTTTAAATCAGTGACAGTACTACTTCATAATCTTTTCTGAAAGGAATACGTACTAGTGCCTTCTTTTTAAGATAGCAGCCTAAAAATATAGTTCTTCTACAGTTTAGCAAATAGAAGTTGCTATTGCTTATTACTTGTGTAAAAAACTAATGAGGAATTATGAATATGAGAGGGTACATGCTTTCAAAACACTTTGGGGCTGATCCACTGGAAAAAGAGAAATGATTGCTTGGGAAAGAAGTAAGCAACTGCTCCTTTCCCTGCTTTTTTACTCTGTTCTCCCTTCATGAGACTCCATTTTTGCAAGTGTAGCTATATTGTTGCCTGCAGTAGTATACTTCGTACGTGATTATTTAGTTTGTCCCCGCCACACCAGACAAGACTTCACATCAGAGGCTGTGGGATGGGGTGGGGAATTGGCTCCAGTGTTGATAAAACTGAGGAAAAAAATGTGATATACCCCCAACACTGAGGGTCTGGCTTTCATAGAGACTTTTATTGTTAAACCATATAGAATTGTTTGCATTGGACAGCTTTCAGTACATTGATTACTGATTTTCCATCTTCCACAGTAAGGGATAAGTTCCCTGTCAGAAATGCAGAGGAATAGTAAAAAAAACATGCTCCTCAGAGTGTTGTTAGCAGAATTACATATGCAGTAAGCATTGGAGGAATACACATTTGTATCTCTTTCTTTTAATTTGAATAGATTATTTCAACACACGATTCTTAGTTTTGCAAAAGGGGAATGTGCAGCCATGTCTGCTGTGGAGCCAGTGGGGTGAGGAAGGAGAAAGAACACTCCTGTGATTCTTCAGCAGGCACTGGATGCCTGAAAAGAAAACTTCTCTGCATTGGTCCTGAATAATCTCTTGAGCTCTTGGATTCTCAGTCTTTGGGACCAGTTAAGCTAGCCAATCTGAAGTTCTCCAGATGTTTTGGGCTACAACTTCCATATATCATAGCCAGCATGTTAAGAGATTATGGGAGTTGTAGTCCACCGCATAGTCATAAGTTCAGTTCTGTCTGTCTGTCTATCTATCTCCTTAGCTATAGATTTCATTGAAGGATTTATATGGCTACACTCTGAGTGCAGTGATTTTGGGGTGTGGGCAGTTTTATTGTTCCTTGGGGCAATAGATATCAGTTGACACAAGATGGAATATGGGAGATCCACAGGTCATGTGTATGAAGCACCTAAGGTTAGGCAGTGACTTCACAACTCCTATTAAGTAAGCTTCTTTTCTCAGGATGGCAGTAGGCAAATGATGGTTGTTATTGGTTACTCTGCTTGTTCTCAACGGCATTTGCTAGAAACAGAATTCTGAACCAACTGGATCTCAAAGGACAATTGTCATGCATGGTTTTCCCTTTTGACTTGAAAATTTCACTAGAAATACGCTATTATTACACACCATCAAATTTTCATTTTCTTTCTTGTGGCACATAGTGCTTGTTAAGAGTAATAATAGTAACTTCCTTATTAGTGTGGAGATAACAGTGACTGTTTATTTTCACTTCGTCATCAAGCTGTTTGCCTAAATCAGATTCCTTCTGATTCCTGCTGTGGTGTTAAGAAGTCACTTTGTGGAACAAATTTCTGACATCGATAGCAGAGTGGGTAGGTGTCCACGCAGTAGCTTTCTCCAGTGGTGCTGAGATACATGAAAACCTTTACTAATCTCAGCAGCTGCTGGTCATGGCTCCAGTTATTGAACTGGACCCAGCTTTACACTGGATCAGCTATTCTGCTGGAAGTGGACATTCCGACCTCCTCCTTCCTTTGGTATTCCCTCCAGTCTCCTGAAAATGCTACACAAAGAGTTGGAAGTCTCTCAGAAGATCCAAGCCATAATGATCTGGTGGGGATTTGGATGCACACATGATGTGCAGGGAAAGGGGAAGAGGTGCATTTCCTTCTGTGCACAGCGCTGAGAGAGTTGTCCAACTGCCCCTTGAAATATTTTACCAGAAGTATAAAAAACAAATAGGAGAATCTGAAATCTTCCTTGGTGTTTGCTGTGAAAATAGCAGTTGTCTAGAATTAGAGAGCATCAGCAAGACTCTATCAGTGACTTCTGATGGGGGAGAAAGATCCATTCAGGCTTTTGAAATAGAATTAGGGTAGGTTCCCACATAGAAGTGCTGTGTGAAGATACTTGGGGGTCTGAGTAGATCTTGCTCCATCCGCATCAGTTGTTCAAGTGCACTTTCAAAGCCCTAAGAGCTCCTTGAAAATGTCCAAGGCTTTGCTTGATCCTGCAAGGGGCATCCCATGGTTCATACAAAACTTTTGGTACTTCTTGGGTAGGGAACAGTGGCTGGCAGCCCTGGTGCCCTTGAGGGGTTCTCTCTCTCTCTCTCTCTCTTCCTCCCATTTGCCAATCCAGAGGAAAAGAGAAGAGATGGTGGCTACGGCCAGGGCATGTGGTGGCAGGAGCCCCTCCTCAAAGGGACCTCCAGTAAAAGTAGCTGCTGACTAGATCTATACTGGCTGGTGTCATCTGATCCCACAAGGCTGTCTGCCAGGAGCAGGCATTTCCCTTAGTACTTGATGTTAACTGATTTAATTCCGCACCAAGTGTTGCTTACCCTGATTGAACATTGCCCTGCCTTTTAGAATAACAGCACCCTCCCCCACCAGGATTTTCAGTGACAGGCCAGATTGAGGGTTGCACTTAATGCAGGTAAGCATAAATGAAGCATGTGGGTTTTCGAGGCACCACTTAGCAGACAGCAGCAAATGGGTAGCGGCAGGATGCAGGTTGGCAAGCAGAGGAGAGACTGGAAAGTGGTCGCACCTGAGAGAATTGTGTGCATTGCATATGCTCACAGGGTATCTTGCAGGGGAGGCAACATGGTGCACCCACAGGCACCTTTTCTGTAGCCCACCAGGGTTCCCTCCCCCCATCTTTTCTGCAATTAACACATTGTCTCACTGGCGCTTAAATTCACTGTGAAGTAGGAGTAGGCAGTGAAATGGCCAAGTTTGCTGATGACACCCAACTTTCTAGGGTGGTTAAAACCAAAGTGGTATTTCCAAGCTGGGCATCAAAATGGCAAATGAGGTTCGATATTAGCAGGTGTCAAGTAATGCATGTTGGGGTGAACAGTCCCAGCTTCAAGTACATGCTGAATGGATCTGAGGTGGCAGTGACACGAAAGGAAGCTTGGGGGGGGGGGTGCCCAGCTGCTGTGAAAAAGGAAAACGCCATGCTAGGCATAATTAGGCACTGAATAGAAAGCAGAACTGCCAAAACCTTACTTCTCTTGCACAAATATTTGGTGCAACTATCCTTGTAATACTGTGATAAATATTCTGATCACCTTACCTGAAAAAAGAACATTACTGAGTTGAAAAAAGTACAGAGAAGGGCAACAAAAGTGATCAGGGGCTGGAGCAGCTCCCCTGCCAGGAGCAGCCGCAACAACTGGGACTGCTCAGCTTAGAAAAAAGGCAAATAAGGGGAGACAGGAGAGACATGTTTGGTGTGGAGAAAGTGGAGACACAGATGTTTTTCTTCCTCTCCCATAGCAGTCAAGCCTGGCGTCATCCCTTGAAACTGATAGGGGGAAGTTTAGGGCAGATAAAAGGAACTACTTTTTCACACAGAATATATTTAAACTATGGAATTTGCTGCCACAGGAAGTGGCGGCGGCTGCCAGTCTGGATGGTTTTAAAAAGGGATTAGGCAAGTTCATGAGGGAGAGACTATCGGGACTACCGGCCTTGCTGGCTATGGGCTCCCTCCTTCACCAGAGGTGGCCTGCCTGCCCACACCAGCTGCTGAGGAGCTTGGGCAGGAGGAGGCCTTGCACCCGTCCCGCTTGGGGGATCCTGTGGGCAGCTGGCTTGCCCCACTGTGTGTGGAGTGCTGGACTGGATGGACCTTTGATCTGATCCAGCAGAGTTTTTCTTATGTTCTTAGATTTCTGTTCTGCTGAAAATAGTGGGTTGAAAGAGGTTGTTCAGTGCTTTGGGGCCCACAGCCCACCCTGCTTAGTGCCTAGTCTTTGGGTCAAGTTACTTGTCCTTTGCTATGGCAGCCATTTTGTAGTGGCGCTCAGGACAGTTTCTCAAATGGTCAGCTGTGCCCACAGCCCCAGAAGGTTGCCTGCCCCTGCACTATGGAAACTCGCATTAGGGTTTTCAGCAGTATTAATGGCTGATGTGTCTGATACGGTGCATTATAAGTAGAAGTAGGAGCACCTGAAGCATATAGGAATTGTATGTTGCCTGCTGGGTTATTCAGCTACAGTCCAGGAAGTGCTGTACATGCTCCTTGGCTTGTGTTGGCTCTTTCCGGTAAACATTCAGAAATAGGCTTCTGCCCAGGGAAAACTAAGCCAAGTAGACTTGAGTGGAGCTGGACCATCTGGATGCAGTCCCTTAAATATTTGCAAAGTTGTTGCTACTGTGTGATAAGATGGAAGCCAGGTTCATATTCAGGTGTGTATTTCAGGTTGAAAGAACATACTGCTAAGTAAAGGTATAGAAAACAACTGACCTCTGAATGCATTTAGCACAAAATACCACTGTCCTGCCTCCTTACCTTGTGTATGTTTATTAGGAAGTAAGTAAATATCACTGAAGTCAGTGGGACTTATGCTCCGGTAAGATGGCATAGGATTGCAGCTTTAGTTCTACGGATATTCTGTGGCCTAATCTTTCCAAGTAATATCCTGGGCATGGAAAATTTCATGATCAGGCCAAAGCTCACATATTGGGGGTGAGAAGTGTTTGTTTGCTTTTTTAAAGCAGGAAAGCCATCAAGCTTGTTGACACGCGCTCTTCATCTTCTTTTCAGAATGTATGCGTTAGCCGCTCTAGAGAAGAAGCCCTGAGGACTGTGCCTAATCACTTGTAGCCCTTCTGGCCTCCAGAACCGGCAGCAGTGCTAAGAAAACCACTCAGGGACACGAGAACAGTGAAGAACGTCTTCAAGAAAGCCAAGCAGCTAGAGACATGTACACTCCTCTTTTAGAAGACGTTTTCAATGCCTGAGCAAGGCAGACTTGGCATTAAAGGTTGAAGCAAACCAAGTATTTATGGAACATAGAATGAAATGGCTTTTAAATTAATATATGTTGTCTTTATCCTGTTGTTGTTGTTGTTTTCTGTGGATGTTAATACGTATGAAATTGTTTTGTCACTTCTAATGTCCGAGGTTAACTTCAGCATTCTTCTAGAATGTTGCCCTAAGCTCTTCTTCCTATGAAAGACCATCCAGTTGCAGACTTCTGGGTGTAGCATTGTATTTTTTTTCAGGTATTATAAGATCAAGCATTACCAGATAAGTGGTTTTCTGAGATTCCATAAAATATGTATTCCAGTGTGCAGTGTCTTTGTCCAGCTCTGTAAGGATTCATTCCTATTTCCCCTTCCATTTAGTTAAACGCATTAAGGAAGCAACCCTGTGGCACTGGACTTTACATGCCAGATATAGAATATTGTAGATTTCTAACTCCGGTCTCAGAGACAGAGCTGCAAGTCAGCCCGTTTTCTTGCCTGCCCCTTCTGCCAACACAGCAAGAATTGCTGTTCTCCGAGGCTGGCAAAGAAACTGCAGAGGTGGCTAAAAGGGACAGTTCGAGGAGCTGGGGTATGGCTTGTTTTTGAGCTGCTGGAGCCTCTTCTTCCAGGCCAGGGCTCTTCAGCTGGACCGGTGAGCAAAAAGGCTGTGCAGGGTGGGAGGCACGGGCAGCCAGAAATTGCCTCCAGCGCTTCCTCCTGCCCTGGGCTTGGATGCACAGGAGCCTCTGAGTGGGGGGACTGAAGCTCACCTCCACAGCCCTCCTTTCTCGTTCCCATAATATCACATTCAGTAACAATGTTTTCATGTGGTAAGCGCTATAGCATGGAAATTAGATTTGCATGCCTTTTTTTAGCAACTGCACTGTGGTATTTAAGAGTTTAAAAAATATCTCATTTCGCAATAACTTTTTTCAAGACTCCATAGCACCTAGTGAGAAGTCTGCAAGGGTGGTATTTTATCAAGTGCTCTCCTTTTGTCTTACTGAATTGTTTCTCCAAGTGCGTCCCTGGTTATATTTTTAAAACAGTTTTGGTAAGATTAACCCATTTCATAGGCCTTTGTAAAAGTAATATTACTTTTATTTAACATTTGTTTTATTACTATTTTTATTATTACATTTCTATACTGCCCATAGCTGAAGCTGTCTGGGCAGTTCACAATGTTTTAAGTCACCCATCTAGATTTCAACCAGGGACGACTCTGCTTAGCTTCCAAGATTAGGCAGGATCAGGCACTTCAGGCTATACAGAAGCTTAGTCTTTGGAAGTTTTTATAGGTAAAAGTTGGATGTTTGGAAGTTCTTTATGAAAGTTTTTAATCTTTGAACATTTATTTTTTAAAAAATAAACATATGGAAAGAAAGAGTTTTAATTAACACTACTTTAAGTTACATGGAACAAGTAAAAGGACGATAACATTAAAGCTTGGCACATAATTGGCAGAGGTTAATCAGTGCAAATGGCACAGGGTTCAAGGCAATGTATGAAGCACACCAAACAATTATGAAACTTCAGTGAGTTATTTGACGTCCTTTTTAAAAACATCTGTGAACCAAAGTTACAGAGAAAGCATTTTGGGCTTTGTTTTTAATAGTGATTTTTTTCCACTTACAATACTTTGGTATGGTCAGATGAACAAAATTCTTCCATCTATGTGCTTTATTGGTGAGGAGCTCTTTTTGGATGGGAACAGGATATGTAAATTCATAGTGAAATATTCCTCAGCCCCGTAAAAACCTCTGCCTTTGTGGGCCTTCGCACCTGATGCATTGCTTGAGTGGAAGGCAGCAGAGAAATCAAGCCTAGTGGAACTTCCCCTTGGGATATTCAGGCATTCTTATGCATACAGAAATGCAATCTGGTAGGCAGATTTGCAAAATTTTATCAGCCCTTCCTTTCAGGCACAGTCCTCTGGGAATATGTTCCATATTTTGAAATAAATGGAATTTGTACTGAATGGATTCCTATTAGAGTGATAGTGCATGTTAGTCCCTTTATATTTGTTCTGCCAGACCGATATACAATGTAAATAATTATTTGTGTGATGGAAGGCACAAGCAGCAGATTGGGGGCCCCTTGGGAGGAAGAAAGGAAGAAAGCTTTGCCCTCTGTAGCAGGGAATTCCTTTTTTAAATGTCACTGTCTGTACTGGTACCTTATTGAACCTCGCTGTGCTGTTCATGTTAAGAGCCCCGGGCTGTGTTAGCTTTTCATGTTGGAGGCTCAAATTGTTTTCAGTTGTCATGTAGGTGTGGATGCTGGAACGCAACCTGCTTTTGTGTTGTGTATTTCTTTAACAAGCTAGAAATATATTCAGTGCTGTGGAAATAAGCCATCAAGCCTATCTTAGTTTAGAAAAATGGCTAGGCTAGACTGTCAAATGCTTCAAGCAACTACACATCCAAAGCGCTTTAACTATATTCCGTCCTGTAAGATAATACATTTACGTCATGACATCATAATTCAGGTAGATTGCAAAGTAGTACAGGAGACTGAGAAGCGTGCACCGTGACGTGAGGTGCGTGAGGTGGAAAAGAGAGTGCCATGCAATGGCTAACCTAACCAAGACACCAAACTTGCCCCAGTTTTGCTGGATATGGGCCACAGAATACAAAGGATTTTGCTGAATGGGGTTAATTTAATTCTTGAAAAGTTAAAGTTTTCAAGAAAAATGTACAGGAGTTACTTTGGACCTTGTATGGCAATGTGGATCTTGTAAGAAAATATTCTTATGTTAGCTGAGGCAGTAAGCTGATTTTTGTCAATAGGTGTAAAATATTCTTTCCTTAACCAGAAAAAGTATTTGTTTCCCTGTTTGTATTTCTCAGTGTGCTATAAAGTTCTGTAGCTAAATATTTAATATATAGTAGATATTTTTATAGGTTGTATCTAAACCAACTGTGATAACAGCGGTGACTTCTATTTACAGGATGGATGTATAATTGAAAAAAAATCACTGTATGCAAATTTAAATTATAAATTTAATGTTGATACTTGAAAAAAATATAAAACTAGAAAGCTCTTGATTCAATGTAAACTACGGTCTTAAATACACACAGTTAGATCCAGTCTTCATCATACTTAAGTAGTTAAGGCCAACATTAAGTCCCATTGATCCCATTCCCTCTATAACTACAAGTAACTCATAACTTGGAAGTAAGCCCCTTTTGAATTAGTTGGACTTATTTTCAAGTAAATGAGTTTAAAATTAAGGTGCTAGCAACTCCGCCTTGGTTTCCAAATAGTCAACTCTGTTTGCTGTTTCTAGAAAGCTGCTTCACATGTTAAATCCTCCAGGTGTAAAAAGTGAATCTGAGAAACTTGTTGATAAGACTGTTGCTCTTCCAGGTGGATTCGTAGCAGCAGGCTCCTCGATGTATACGAGAGGCAGACTTGAGTTCCCAATGGCTTAATGTGCGGAATGGCTTTTAGTGAGTACTGGGAAGTTCAAACTGTTATGAAAATCATTTCCTCTTGCCATAATTTGTACAGTCAACACAAATAATTTTGAATGTGATTTTAACTCAGATGTGGAGAGTTAATCCATTTACTAATTCTAATGATGTCCTTTGATATATCTGGCATTCAATTTAATACTTTGAGAGAGAGTAACGTTATAGAACATTTGCTCCAGAATAATAAATACTCAGTTTTAAATTGTGAGGGCTGTGTTACTTTAATCTCTTGTTTTTTTCCCCACCGGGTGAAGCAGACATAGTCTAGAATTCTCTTCACTAGCATACATCACAAGTGTTAGTGATTAATCTTGAGGCGCTTTGAGAAGCTGTGCAAGTTTAGAACATCCTTTAGATTTACCCTCACCATGTTAAAGGCTGTGTGTGTGTGCTGTGGATGGAGCGTATGAACTAGTAGAGGTGTTCATGTGGGGCCAGTGTAAAGGTAGGCATGCTCAGATGCTGGCTGAGGGCACACATCCCAGACACAGAGTCTCCTGCGCTGCTCTTCTTCGAGCTCTTCGCCGCTGCATCTGACCTGGTCACCTGCCTCCTCGCCTGTTCTGGACAGTGGTGGTGAAAGGAGGGCAGAAGAAGCCATCGCCTGCTTGCTCACTGCCTCTCCGCCTCTCTAGTGAAGGAGGAGGTTGAGGAGTGGGAGCAGTGGGTGGTGAGAAGGCTGTTTGCTGGAGCTGGCCCTGTACTAGCACCAGCTGACTTGAGGAGCAGCTGAACAAGAAAAAGCCCCCTAGCTAGGCTGCTTGTAAGCATTTTCGTGTACGTTGAGTAAGTAGCATGGGTGCTCCTGAGAAGGAGCAGAAACTGGTGATTTCTTTTTAAGTGTTTTTGACACACGGAATGTACAACAGCGCTTGCCCTCCTCTTCACCATAGTGAAGCCTCCTAGCATGGGTCTTATTTAATCTTCTTAGGCAAGGAATTCCATTGTTGTTAAATGCTGCAGTAATTGCTAAATAGCAGTTCCTCCTTCCAGATGTTTCCCCTTGAAAATGCTGGGTTCATACCAGACTAAGGAGAGCCTGCTGCTTATTTTCAGTCTCATTTATGCAGGTGAACGTTGGAGCCATGGGTGCTGCATGCAGCAGGTAAATGCTGTTGTTCAGGGGTGCAGATCTTCTTTCATCTTGAGATCCAATTTCCTGTTTGGAGAATCCCTCAGATCTGCTTTCTGGGCATGGGTGAAGAAGTAGGAACTGGGGACAGGACCAAGCACAGAAGTGAAATGTCAAAAAGTATCAGCTTGCTTTAGTCTGATGTCCTTGCTACCAGGACCTAAGTTTAGGAGAGAGCTTTCAACCTTTTAGAATGGACAAAAAAATCAGGACAAAAGTTAGGAACCCCCAAACAATTGGGGGGCTTGGCAGAAGGAAAGTGGAGGAAGTCCAAGACGAGCATTACAGAAATGTGGGTCTTGGACTGGCAAGCAAGAACATGGGCTTGAGGGTCCCTGGTACATTGTGTGTCTTCATCACCTGGTCAGGAAGCTTAGAGAACTCCAAATCCATGCTTCATTTGAACCCCAATCATTGAGAGCAGGAACAACCAGAAAGAGAGCATTAGTTCAGGAAAGACTTGAGGGCTCTGCGATGAACACGCATCCTTCTCTCCATAGAACCATAGCATTTTGTGCCCAGAATGCATAACCCTTTTGAGCAATATGTCACAACAAAACGAAGCCCACCAACAGGAGTGGTGCAGCGGCATGTAGCGGGAATGGTCTGTGAGGATGTCCATGAACATTATTTATTTATTTATTTAGAAGGCTTCTATGCCGCCCCATTTGCCAAAGCCTTGGGGCGGCTCACAAAAATAAAGACAGTATAAAAAAATATAATATGAGTCGACCTGGCCCAAAAAATAAAACAAATAATATTAACAATTAAAATAGCGTTTAAATAAAAGGTCTTCGCCTGGCACTGAAAAACAAATAACGACGGCGCCAGGCGGACCTCTCTGGGGAGCGCATTCCATAGATTGGATGCCACCACAGAGAAAGCCCTCCTCCGAGTACTTACCCTCCTAATATCCTTCACGGAGGGTTCCTGGAGAAGGGCCTCCCCCACTGATCTCAAGGGGCGTGCGGGCACATATGGACGTAAGCGCTCCTTTAGGTAACCAGGACCCAAGCCGTTAAGGGCTTTATAGGTCATAACCAACACCTTGAATTGGGTCTGGACTTCAATAGGGAGCCAATGAAGCTGACGGAGAACTGGAGTCATGGGAACATAACTCCCAGTCCCCGTCAGCAGCCTGGCAGCTCTATTTTGAACCAATTGAAGTATCCGGACTGTCTTCAAGGGTAGCCCCACGTAGAGTGCGTTACAGAAGTCAAGTTGGGAAGTCACGAACGCGTGTGTCACCGTCGCCAGGCAGTCATTCTCCAGGTAGGGACGCAGCTGATGGATCAGCCGAAGCTGAGAGCGCTCCTCGCCACTGCTGTCACCTGAGCTTCCAGTGAAAGCTCTGGGTCGAGGAGCACTCCCAAGCTGTGGACCTTGTCCCTAAGAGGGAGTGCAACCCCATTCAGGACTAGGTTCAGGTCCCCTTCCCTGAAGCCCGATCCGCCAACCAACAGGTCCTCCGTCTTGTCTGGATTGAGGTTCAGTTTATTGGCCCTCATCCAGCCCATTACTTCAGCCAGGCACTGGTTCAGTACAGCCACTGCCTCACCTGGATTGGTAGAAAACGAGAGGTAGAGCTGGGTATCATCAGCGTACTGATGATTCCGCAGCCCACACCTCCTGATGACCTCTCCCAGCGGTTTCATGTAGATGTTAAATAGCAAGGGGGACAAAATGGAACCCTGCGGAACTCCATGGCATAACTGCCATGGTGCAGAGCCATAGTCCCCCAGCACCACCTTCTGGAATCGGCCATTGAGATAGGAGCGGAACCACTGCAAAGCAGTACCTCCGACCCCCAATCCCGCAAGCCTATCCAGAAGGATACCATGGTCGATGGTATCGAAAGCCGCTGAGAGGTCCAGGAGAACCAACAGGGACGCACTCCCCCTGTCCTTCTCCCTGCACAGGTCATCATACAGGGCGACCAAGGCAGATTCAGTACCGTACCCGGGTCTGAAGCCGGACTGAAATGGGTCCAGATAATCAGTTTCCTCCAAGAGTGCTTGGGGTTGTCCCACTACCACCCACTCCAACACCTTGCCCAGAAACGGGATGTTGGTCACTGGTCTATAATTAGTGGCCATCTCTGGATCCAGTGATGCCTTCTTCAGGACAGGTCGGACTACCGCCTCCTTTAAAGGGGCAGGTACCCGGCCATCCCTCAGAGAGGCGTTAACCACTTCCAAGATCCAGATACCTATCCCATGCTTGGCGTTGTTAATTAGCCAAGATGGGCAAGGGTCCAGTAGGCAGGTGGTGGGACGTACTCGTCCAAGCACCTTGTCCACATCATCAGGCCGCAGTAACTGAAATTCATCAATTTTGGACCAGATGGCAACATGGGTATCTCCCCAGAAGCCTCTGTATCACTAGTGGAATCCAGCTCGTGACGAATCTGAGCAATTTTCTCCCTGAAATGCTTGGCAAAGTCGTCACAGCGGGCCTTCGAGGGTGGAACCAGATCTTTCTTAGGGCCGGGACGAACTATCCCTTCTACCACCCGAAACAGCTCCGCCGGACGGCATTGTGAGGAGGCAATGGAAACGGAGAAGAATTTCTTTTTCGCCACCCTCACCGCCACAGCATAGGCCCAATAATGGGCTCAAGTGTGTTCAGTCAGATTCATCCCATGATTTCCTCCATCTACGCTCTAGATGTCTCCCAGCCCACTTCATCGCCCGCAATTCAGGTGTATACTAAGGGGAAGAGTGAGCTCTGCCCGGCGGGAGAGGACGCTTAGGAGCGATCATGTCAATAGCCCTGGTCATTTCCCCATTCCACAGTTTGACCAGAGCCTCGACAGGAGCACCAGCCTTGTCAGCCAGAAACTCCCCCAGGGCCTTCAGGAATCCATCCGGATCCATCCAGCTCTGGGGGCGGACCCACACAATTGGGTCCACACCTTTACAGAGGGCAAGGCCGCTCTCGAGCACAAACCTCACGAGGAAGTGATCTGACCATGACAGAGGTGTCAGACATAAATTCCTCACCCTCAGACCCCCCTCTTCCTGCCCCGTCGTGAAAACCAGGTCCAGAGTGTGTCCACGTTCGTAGGTTGGGCTAGTGACATGTTGAGACAGCCCCATGGCCATCATGGAAGCCATGAAGTCCTGAGCCGCCCCGGTCAGACCAGTCTTGGCATGGAGATTGAAGTCCCCCAGGACCAACATCCTGGGGGTCCTCAACACCAGGTCCAAGACAATCTCCGTCAGCTCAGGCAGGGAGACTGTTGGGCTGAAGGGTACACGGTACACCAACAGAATCCCCAATCTGTCTCAGTTGCCAACACCAAGTAGAGGCACTCTAGCTCTGGCCTCGAAGGGACTGGAAGCCCTGCGAGGGAGATGGAGGCTCGGTAAACCAAAGCAACCCTCCCTCCCCTCCCCTCCAGGTGTGGACGGTGCTGAACCGGATACCCGGATGGGTACATTTGAGAGAGGGTGACATCCCCCCCTTCTCCCTCCCAGGTCTCTGTTATGCAAGCCAGGTCAGCCCCCTCATCCACAATCAAGTCGTGGATAAGGGACGATTTATTGTGGACCGACCTTGCATTAAGCAACAGCACCGTCAGGCCTAGGGGGCAGTTGACAAGACTACCTGGAACCTTCTGGCTGGAGGTAGAACCAGAAGGAGGGACAGGTGTCAGCCATCTGTCCCTCCTTCTACGCGGACACGTTAAACCCCCACCGCTGTAACGTCCATTGCCGGTGACCACCCCAATGGCGGCGCCCACTCGCTCCCCAGGTAACTCAACCGTCGACGTGGCCAGGGACGACTCCATAAAACCAGATTAAAATACAATAAAAATATTAAAACAATGTAAAACTCCCCCATCTACCCCCCCAATAAAAATTCCACCCACTGACAGAGTCCCTCACCAGCCCAGCCCCCTCACGACCACAAACGGCCACAAACGGCGGCGACCGCCCTTTGGCCATCACCCTTTGGCCGCCGGCCCCGGGCCGCGTCCAGCGAGTTAAGCCGGCGCCCACCCGCGTGCCCCACCCCGCAATCCAGCGCTGCTCTCACCAACGCCGGCGGGTGGGGGGGAGCAGAGACGGACGTGGAAGCCTGTCGGCCAGCCGGCGCCCTCCTCCGTGACTTCGGTCGGCGGCCCTGGCGTCCTCCTTCCCCGGGGTGGTCAGTGGTGGCCGTGGGAGCGGCATCAGCGGGCCCCGGGCTCGGTGGCGCGCCTCAGGTCAACGTGGGCCTCGGCAGACATTCGCATGTCTGCTGTTGTCGCCACTCACTCCTGGGGCGCGAGGCAGGCCATGGGCTCTTGCTTCTCTTTCCCTCTCCCTGCTCCACACAATTGCTTTTCTCCTTTTCCAGTCAGTTGTTTGCCTATTCTCTTCCTCACTACATATCCCCAATCAGGGATTTCTTGTCACTTAATATATTTGAGCCAGTCTGGCGCTACCCAGGATGGATTGTCCCCATAATTTCATGGCTGAATTAGGATGGAGGTGGTGATGTATTCATGAACAGTGAACAAGTGGAAGCTAAGTCATTGGCTTTTGGTGAGCACTGCTTGCCTTCTGCTCTGCTAGGATACATGTTGAAATCACACAAAAGAGAAAATGGGTTAATAAACTATTTACATTTTTCTCTTGGGTCTTTTGAGATGGATCCAATTAATCAGGTTGGATCCAGATTTACACTGGAAATGGAATTGGGACTTTTCCACCCTCTCTTTCCATTGCACTTGCTCTAGCCCCTTCAAAATGCTTAAGACAGACGGGGTTCACTGGTCAAGACAAGACAGCTTTTTAAAATGATTTGTCACACTCTTGGAACCCACTCATGCTAATTCAGCAGAGTACGTTTAGTCTTCGGAACCCACCGTCAAGAAATAACACTTTGTTCTGTGGTTTCTGCTAAGCATCTCTGAATCCTATCCCTCATGGTAGGAAGCCCAAGACAAAAGAGCTGCTTGGCAAAAGCCGCCAAGCACCTAGAAGAAAGTCCAGCCGGCAGCTGCTGCCGTTGGCTGAGCTGTCAGACGAGTCCTGCCTCTTCCTGCCTCCTCCTGCCTCCAGGCAAGAGCTGCCCAGCTGATGTGATCTGACAGGAAACCTTTCATGTGAGTGTGAGAGGGGGATCAGCTGGACAGTGGTGCCCCCAGGAAAGCAGCACCTCCCAGCTGATCCCCTGCACCTGCTCTCATGAGAGAGACCTTCCAGCACAAGCAGAGGTGAGCAATCAGCTGGGATGGACTGCCTCAGTGGGCCCTTCAGGGCAGTTTGCTATGCCCTGAAAGCTGCCCTTGGGATCCTGCGGAATGGCTTAGGTGAGGGTGGGAAGGGAGAGTGGCCAAGGGACCTTCCATGCCCTGAGCCCTTCCTCGCTTACCACGAGTGGACTCGCAGGGTGCAGGCACAGAAATGTAGGGTACAGTATTTGCAAAAAGGAGCATAAGCCTTTTTGAGGCCATTAATATTGAAAGAACTATTTCTCTAGACTCTTATATGTGAGACGATCCTATACAATAAGGACCAGTAAGTGCCTTTAATGGTCTGCCCAGCTGCCCAGTTTAATTATAGTACTTCCACTGGTATAAAGCCCATGAAAGACCATAATGGATGTGCTTGTGAACATTCCCCTCTTTAATACCCTACTTAATCAAACTGATTTACAACAATCACCTGCAGCCTTGGAAGTCACAGTATTAATGTATTTTTCGAATGATGGTTATCTGTCCTAGAGTAAAGCTTTCATTGTGACATCTGCATTTATGCAATCAACTGGTCATGTAGGGTAAATATAGTATGTTTATTTGAAATAGCCAGAAAAAAGCTGTAAGTAGACATCAGCAACTTTCTGTAATATAACTGCTTGTTAATGGTGTTTCATTAGTGTAAATTCCATTGGAAGAATGGGGAGATGAATTCCTAATAAAGCATTAGTTAAACCAATGCATTAAATAGCGAATCCATAGGTTAATGTGTTGCTTTTAGTTGGAGCACTACATCCAACCAGTACAAGGAAATACTGGATGCAAAAATGGTAGTTGCCCTGCTACGCTTCTGCTTTATGTCAGGCCAGCTGTAACCCGGAGTCCTTTCTAGCATTCAGCAGACCTTCGTAATTTGCTTGGAATAATTGTAGTCTGCCATTCCCTAGAAATCCTAGTAAATGAACCTAACAACATGCAAGATACCAAAACCTATGCCTGCTTTAATATACCATTCCTTCATTTAAAAAAGTACCTTACATATGCAAAGCAGGTTTTTGTAACACTGGAAACTTATTTTTCAACTTGCAAAAACAACTCCTGGGATAGATGGTGTTGCCTGCTATCCAGCCAAAGTGTCTGCTGCTGAGGCCTCGAGAGTAAATATTTTCAGTAACCTATGAAACCTGGCACAAGGAAAAGCCAAATCTCGCAGTGGCCAGCATAGTCTGACCGACTCACTTTCAGTTACAGTAAGGTTAGGTTTGTCGCTACTGCAAGTAGCCAGAGTTTGGGCATTTCAAGCGACAAGTAGTTAGCATCAGAATGTGATGCATAACTCAGTGTGAAGAACTGGGTGCACTACACAAGCTTTGCAAGTGCCCAGCCAAGTCCAAGTACAGGCCCTTACTCAGCTCTTTTCTCTCAAAGGGTGAACTTCTGTAATGGAGCAGAGAGGGTGCCAGTGGTGGACCCTCATTCAGCTGTACCCACATAGCAGGCCAACACCTGCATGAACCTAGCCTACCACTTGCTGAGCAATTCCTTTCCAGACAACCTGTACTCCTCACTGTGTTTGGGCTGGTGACATTCCATTGCCCAGGATCCAAAGTGCAGGGAAACTCAGCAAAGTCGATCACTTGGTGTTTCAGTGAGCAACAGAACATGTCACAGCTGTAATACTCTTACAGATTCACAATGGAGTAATAGCCCAAACTCAGCCAGTCGGTTTTGCAATGATCCTCTTTCTGTTCCCCTATCCCAGTGATGGCGAACCTTTTAGAGACTGAGTGCCCAAACTGCAACCCAGAACCCACTTATTTATCACAAAGCGCCAACATTGCAATAAAACCTGAATAGTGAGGTTTTAGTTTAGAAAAAAAACAACTCATACATTAACATCTTTTGCCTTAAAAACACAGTAACAGAGAGAAGGAGCCAAGTTCACGTTCAGCGCCCCCAAGTCAGGGGATGCCAGGCTTGCTTGCGCCTGGGCACACGCACTCCCCCCGTCCCTCCTTGCCCCGAGACCAGCCACTGGGAATGCCACAGGCGCTTTGGCGGTACTTGAAAGTTTACCGGAGAGGCGGAATGGGTGGGACAGAGACCTAAACTAAAGGTGAGGAGAGGCTATTGCTGATCCCTTCCACGCTTCTGCTGGGATCTTCCTCGAGGCGCCCCCACGGCACTACCAAGCCTTGGGGAGTGGGGTTGGGTGGGGAGTGGGGTCCCCACCACGCGCCCACTTCTCTCGGTTCGCAGCAGTTCCAGCCTCCACCTTTCCTCATTGTGGCCTCCCTCCCCAGGAAGCGCCGTATCGATACTGGGCTCCCTCTCTCTCCTCTGCCTCGCTCCAGCTGCTGTTGCTGCTCTGCCACCTAGACCCTGTCGCTCGCTCCCTTCACCCAGCTCCCCTCACACCCCGGTGGCCACCGATGTGGGAGCCTGGGTCGGGAGCGGGTGCGCGGGCAGGTGGGTGCACGGCTGCCTGGCTGCGCCTGTGGCTACCAAGTTGGCAGGGTCCCACCACTGTGCTAGGAGGGTGACTTGTGCGGCCGCTCACATGCGTGGACTGGGAGGAGGTGGCGGCGGCAGGAAGAGCACGCTGCCACCAGCACTGGGCACGCCCGCTCACCTTCCTGGTTCCCTTCCTGGTGCACTCACCGCGGCTCTTGTGCCTGCCTCTGGCCACCTGTTTGATGCTGCGCCTCATGCCACATCTTGCGGTGAGTCGCGGCTAATGAGTGACATCGTTTCCGAATATGTGCATGGCTGCTGGGGCGATTGACTCGTGTGCCAACAGAGAGGGCTCTGTGTGCCTGCTGTGGCACGTGTGCTATAGGTTCACCATCACTGCCCTATCCCAACCCAATTTTTCAATTTCTGTACATCCATTTTTAAAGTGTCCGTTATTAAAAAAAAAACCTTTTAACAGGGTGAAAGGTAGCAATGACTAGGTATAATTTATTGTGCATTTAAAGATTCCTATGGGAATCAGTCTGTAGATTAGTAACTGAAGCTATATTAGCTTGCACTGAAACTAACAGAGTAAGTCAACAGCCATCCTGTGGCATGAGATGGTTACATGGCACCAGCTAGATTTTCCTGCACTATCTGCCACCTCCCTTTAATAAAGATAAGCAACTTGTTTCCATGCGAGTTTACTCACTAAGCCCCGCTGACTTGTGTGAAATACTTTTGTTTCAGATGACACGCTTTGGATTGCAGCCACGATTTCATTGGTGGTGGTAATTAGTCCAATAAGGAAAGGACACACTTCATTTAAAAAACCTGCAGTGCTTTTGTAATATTTAATGTGGTTTCATCAATAAACAACAGAAACAAACGGACAAAAAGTTCTATGAAAAGGTTGTAACCTTGCTAGGAAAAAGCTCGGCAAAGCATGGTATCAATTCATGGCACTTACAAATTAAAAATGACAGTATCAGAACCCCAGAATCAAACTGAATACAAATTCAAGTTATTTCATTTGATGATGAAGAAGAACTGGCTAGCGGTGTCACTTCATTTAAAATACCCTTCATAAGCTATCTTTCACCACTTGAGCAAAATATACAGCATACACATTCTACCCCCCCCCCACAGATTACTACATTCAAATAACCACTCACAATTTACATTTTTCCTGTTGTGGAGAAAATCATTTACATGATTCAAAAGGATACTTGATAAACTCAACCATGCAAGATAAAGCTTACTGCCAGTTTCTAAAGAATTAGCAGTAGAACATTAATGAGTCACTATTTGAGTGTTATTCAGAATGAAGACAAAGAGATGAAGTATCCTTTGATCCCATTTTGCATGGAGTGCCTGGGAACTCCTGTTTACAGCTGTACCGCAGAGTTCTGTATGTTTTGAAGAACTATTTCTCCAGAATTCGTTCAAATTTGGGATTAATAAAAGAGAACCCAGCAAATGCAGTCTGATCCATAGAGTCTATTAGGTTTTTGTCACTGTAGGATAGTCGTGGTTTCTCACTCAAGAACTCTCTGTCGAAATTGCTGTAGTCATTTGCTGATTTCTATAGAGAAGAAGGGCAAAAATGAAAAAAAGAAGCACCTGAATATTGAACAATCTAGTCTATTGCTCAGGAAAGTCTGTGAATGTACTTAGTGTCATTTTGTTAATTCCAGTGAATTCAGATGGATTATTGCAGAACAAGGTCATTTGTCCTCTCCAATCCTCCCAAAATAAATAGGAAGAGCAGTGCGTGAGGAATCTGGCTTGTGGGTGGGAATGCTTTGGATGCCTGCCTGCTTTCTCTTTGTCCTCAGCCTGACTTGCCCCAAGTGTTCATGTGGCGTCTGGCAGGAAGTGGGTCTAACAGTTGTGGAGTTGTGCATAACTAGTGAAACTTGCTTGCACACGCACCACCCATACACCTGTTTGCCAAGCAAAATTCTGCTTCTGGCTTGCATGGCTTGCATGCTTTGTGCACTCAGAAGCACAGTAATTTAGTGCAAGGAAAGGGCCCACTAGCATTCCTGAACATTTGCAGACTTGATCTCTGCTCAGCTTGCTTCCCACGCCAGGGCCAAGCATGGGAAAGAGGTCTGACAAGCACAAGAGAGCCAGGTTCCGGGGAGATCTCGCATCCCTAAATAGGAACCATCCCAGGAAAATACACTCCCGATACACACTCTGGTTATAGCTGCTACTGATGTGGCTACAGGTATAGCTCACACTTGTATGTAAAAGGTCTGAGGTTCAATTCTGATATCTTCCAGGGCCAAGGAGAGGAAGAAGTTTGTCAAACCTCAGATAACTCAATGTTTTAATATTTGCAGACATTCACCTTTAGCCTAAATGATCCAATTCATGAAGAAGTTAATCCAGAGGAAGAAAGCATAACGTATCATACCCTTGCTCTACATATTTTATACCCATTCCCACAATCTGTTTTTTCCTTCATATCACTGCTCAGCCTTGAAGGGTACAGAGTGGCTATGAGCAATGACTCTTGCTCAGCCTATCCTAATCCACAAGGTCCTTGTGCAAACTAGCAGCAGATGCTTGAGAGATCTGACATTTGCAGATTCTGACCCACAGCTTCCCGACTATGATGCCAATCAAACCTTATATAAAAAACTTCCCAAAATGCCAGTGCAGTTCCTCGCTCCAGAAGTGTCTCAACAGTAATTTAATATTTCCTATTTTGAAAGGAAATTGGTTTAGTTATGAATTAAATTATGGATAAATAACAAATTTTGAGGCACATTTTGGTGTGGATGTTTGTTAAAATGAGAAAAACAGTGGCAGGTGGGTGGAATGGATGAATGAGTTAATGCAAGCAAAAATGGCACGGACAGAAGCAGGCACCTTTGCCCATGCTTAAGGCCATTCTGCCTGCCCAGATGGCAGAACACAAATGCAGGACCTTAGAACATCACCCAGTGTGAGAAATTCAGGGGACACATACCACTTTTGGCTTGAAGGGTGGCTCCATTTCCCTCTTCTCCAGCGCTGTCCAGTTAATGGCTTTGAAGAAAGGGTGATCTCTGATGCTCCCAGTTATTCCTAGTCGCTTTGCTGGATCCCTTTCAAACAGCTACAAAATACAATCATGACCTTAATTCAGTTACTTTGCCCAGAAATCAGATTTCTTGAAGAAAACAGCTCTAGACAGATCCAAGATGCTGCTGGAGCTGATACGTTCAGTGGATCTAAGGCTACCACTATGGTCAATTTCAGTCACTATGGCTACTGACCTGAAATGGAAGCAGGATGTGAGAAGATTTTATTTCATGACTGCATTTCATTTACTACATCTCTAAACCACCCCAACAGCTGAAATTTCCTTGGTGTTTACAAAGAACATAAAGCAGGATAAAATTGTATTAAGTGTACAGAGAGAGCATGTGTGTGCATGTGTGTGTGCGCGCACACACACACACAAAGCGAGAGTGAGAGCGAGAGAGGGCTATAACAATTTCAAACAATCAACAATAAGGAAGATCCATGACCCAATTAACAACCTAAATCATCATGTGCTGCCAAATGCCTAAGAGAAGAACTGAGGGGCCACCACTGAGGGGGCGCTCTCTGTTTTTGCTGCCTTCTGAGCCACCCTCAGAGGAGGCACCCAGAGAATTTCCTTGCATGATGAAGGCGGTGTGTGGGTAGGGTCCTGCCAGGAAAAATGTCTGATCAGCTGTTGTGCTCCTGAGATGTAAAAGGCTTTATAGGTCAAATCCAGCACCTGGCTCAGTCTCAGACACATACAGGCAGCTGGTAAAAGCAGACTGGGACCAATGGTTTAGGTTTGGACATTTTTTGCCTCTTGCGATCAATCCTGCCATCACGTTTTTCATAAACTGCAGCTTTTGAACAGTCTTCAAAGGCAGCCAGGTCCTGAATGCATGGTCACAATCTAACCTTTCGGTTACTAGAGCACAGACAGCTGGAGTCTGTCCAGGCACATAAAAGGGGTGCTGATCAGAGCTGTGGCCAAGCAACCAGCTTCTCTCTCAGGGAAAAGCAAGGCTCCTAGATTTTGTGCTCCCGGATTTTGCAAATGCAGCGACTGGGGATAGGGTGGGAGAATATGAGGCCCAGGGAGGGGTTGTGCAGCAAAGGCAGCTGGGATACGTGCTAGGAAAGGGTGGGAAGAACAAGGGAGAAAGATGCCGTCTCAAGCTCCTGCATAGCCACTCATCTGTCAGGAGCAACGTGAGTCACCCAGCAAATACCCAACTTCTCCCAGTGCCTTAGCATAATGTGAAACTCTTCAGATATAATCCTTTAAATTTACTGTATTATTAATATTCTGTCACTGTTGTATTATTTTACTTTCATATGCCAACTTGAGATTGTCTCCTCTATAAAGCAGCCTATAATTTTAAACCAACCAAACAAACCATTAAAACTGTGGCTCCGTTTCACAACACATTTCTGCCTAGCAGAAAGAACATTTCATCTTTTTGCAAAAAAACATGATTAACAGCAGCTTCAACTTAATGGATTATTAGGTTCAGATGTTCCAGTTCATTTTCCTGCACAAAAGACATGAGGTAGCTTTACTTCACCTTTTCTAGTATATCCTTGGATTCCTTGGTAATCCAGCGTGGATAATGAGGCGTATCCACTCGAATGGACTCAAACAACTCATCTTCATCATCACCATGGAATGGAGATTGTCCAATAAGCATCTCGTATAACAAAACTCCAAAGGACCACCAGTCCACAGAAAATGTATACTTCATGCCTTGCAGGATCTGTGGTACACAGAAGAAAAGATGAAGGTTTCCTGCCAGTAATGTTCCCTTGACACCTCAAGACCTGCGGATTTGCCTTTTTACCAGTTAAAACCATTTATATAATAGTATTTAGGTACAGTGCTTTTAAAGTCTAGCATATCCTACCTTTCATGTGCACTTGATAAAGCATCTTATCCTGTTTGATTCAATAGCTGCATTCATATGTAACATGATGGCAAATAAGGCATGGTAAGGAACCCCTGAGTTCATGCATTCCCTCCTCTCTTCAGGTTTGGCTGCAAGGAAGCTGGAAAGTTTTACTTCTGCCTTTGATAAACTCCACTCTAGAATTCTGCCCAGATCTGGACTAGCTTAATTATAACCATGCTTTGTTGAAACAAACCAGCTTTGTGCGACTGGCTTGTTTCGATAAACCATACTCAAGATCTAGCCTCCTTTCAGTGCTTTGGGTGTAATGCTAAACTACAGTTAATCGGAAGCAGCATGTCCATGCGCTGGCTCACAAGACTTTCACTCCCTGAGAAGAATCAGCCATTTTTGCTGAGTTTGAATGCAGCCATTGTCTATATTTCAGAACTGCTCCCACTAAACATTCTCAATGGCCAATTACAATGGAGTTTTATTTCTGGTGAGACACTCAGAGAAGAAAAACTAAATATTGCACTGTAAAAGCATGTGCAGGTTATGCACTAACAGAGTAAATCCACACACAGTTATTTTCTTCTACTATTTATGAAGCCATTAATTTTTATACCACCTCTGAAGAAATGCCTTGCTATTGGAACTGCGGGCTGCTTTGCATGCATCACAACGGAGGTGGGTGACTGCCAGCATGGTGGGTGGATTCGTGTCTCCCCTGAAACAGCTTCGGCAGCTCCATATATTTTCATGCTGTATGCATTATGGAAATATGCCGCAAGGAGCTGTAATTGCCCTCATTTTAGTAACACATTTTTATGAGGTGCATGCGGTTAAAAAGAAAACAAGCCGACATGCATTACGGCTTAGCAGCAGGCATGTGCTAATTTTAAAAATAAACACTTCCCCAGTAATGTGTGGTGCCACCTTCAAAACACTACCGTATGAAAGATTGAGCATCTTTTAAAAAATTTATTTTATGGGTGCAGACACATGTCTCTCCATTAGTCATACTGTTTTTGCTTTGCAATAACGGGCTGATCCTGCCAGATTTTTAGTGGTCTCATTCACACGACATGATGGCATTTTGTAGGCTGGAAGGCATTGTGGCTTGTCATGTTGTCCAAAACCCAGCATTTAGCAAGGTGGCTTTGGAAACAAGCTACCTTGAACATCCATGGCTTGTTCCCGAGGTTTTTCATGGGTTAAACATGGAAGAGCTAATTCATCATGGATTCTGTGAACTGGCCAGCAAAGTTCTTGACAAAAACCCCTGCTGCTCTTCGAGATCTTGCCCACGCTGCTGTCAGTGACTGCCCTCCACTGATGTGACTTTTCCTGGCTTATACTGACATTAGCTTGGCTGATAGTTTTATATGTGCTCAACTGCCTGGATTCTGCTCTGCTCTGCTGCGGCCATGAGTTCAAGCTCCTGCTAAGTGTGAGCAGCATTGGTGCCACATTCTCTGGGAATTGGGCCCTGTGGGAACACCATGCAAACTGCATCCTCCTCCTGCTGCCTCTGCCTGGGCTGCACATGATGAGGAAGGTGGCGGTGGGGCCTGGCAGGCTGGGCTCTCTGGGAGGCAGGTGGGAATTCCACAGCAAAGCTCTCCCGAGAGCCCAAGTAGCTCCCTACCAGGGATCCTCCATCGTGGATAAGGCACCCCTGGAGGCTGCTTAGGCTGCTGCAACAGGGGATTTCTGGGGCCGCCGTACCCGGAGAACCTCACTAGGAAGGCGGGAAGATGGAAGCAGAGAATGGCCAAGGAGGGGAGGACAAGAAAGAGAAGAGGTGGCAGCTAGGAGGTGAAACAGGCAAGTGGAGGTGCAGAAGTGATGGCAGCAGGTGGTGGGAGGAGGAGGAGGAGGAGAAGGGGCAGCACAGCTGGGGGAGAGGTGGTAGTGGCCTTGGAGGGGCTTGGGGAAAGGAAAGACGGTGTTGGTGGCAGCAGTGGAAAGCGCTGCCTCCAGGGCGAGGAGCAGAGGACGGGGTGGCCGCATCCTGCTTGTGCTGAGCAAGACAGGCGTGCCGAGGCAGGCTGCTTCGAGGCAGAGGTTAGCACTGCGTGCAGCTGAGGGGTTTTCGAGAACGGGTATGTTGCAGGTACGCATTCCTTACTTCAGGTGCTATGTAGTCTGGGGTACCACAGAAAGTCGTCGCCTTGTTTTCTCCAAACACATTCTCTTTGCACATACCAAAATCAGCTATTTTGATGTGACCTTCTTTATCAAGCATCACATTGTCGAGTTTGAGGTCCCTGCGCGGAAGAAAATAGCAAAGCAGAGCAAAACAAAACAGCACGGCAGTCCAGTTAGAATAAGTGATCACCTGAAAGACTCATGATAACCGCAGTATAACAGTGCCGCTTAAAACACTATTTGTTTTCAGAATTGCAGGATGCTTTCATTGGCATTAATGCAAAGTTATTACAGAAATGGGCTGAAGTTGGACAGAAAATAAATGAATATCCATGCAGTTTCATTAAGATAGTCTCTTGAGCTGACAGTATGATCAACTGAATCATGGAATCCAAGGAGAAATGAATATAGTTATATGCATATGAGAAGATGAAATACAGAACCCTTAATATATTCACTTGGGGCCCTGAGGGAAGTTTACACTGGCAGTGAAGCTATCACAACTTAATGGTTCAGCAAGGCTGCAATCCCACACACACGTACACAGGTGTAAGTCCCCCCTATCTCAATGGGGCTTTCTTCAGCATTGACACATACAAGATTGTATTGCAAGTTGGGTTGCTTACTATATTTGTCTCCAATCCAGAAGTACAATTTTATTTGAAGTTATATTCATCTATTTTTTTATGTCCCCAGTGCCTGAATACTTCATGGGCTCCACTTCCGCAGATACACTAGTAACTATTTTATATTAGCAAATCACATCAGTGATAACTTATCGAATTGTACAATTAATGACAGATTTATTCTTAAGAAAAAGCGGATGGACTGCTCAGGAGTGGGAACGTCTATCCTATACACAGGTGCCCATTCTTTAGGTTGGCCTTTAGATATAGCTTTGGAAGTCAAAACCAGCGGCCAATAAAGTTGAACACACTTAAAAATATATACACATGCATTAACATATGAATGCAAGAAAAACCATGATGGACCAGAGGAATGGTCCATCCAGTCCAGCACTCATGGTGGCAAAAGCCCATGGGATCCTTCCAGCAAGACAGGTGCCCACGCTCCTCAGCAACTGGTGCACACAGGCGTGCTTCCTCTGAAAACAGAGGTAGCACATAGCCAACAAGGCTAGTAGCTGTTGACAGACTTTTCACCATGAAATCGTCCAACTTCCCTTTACAGCTGCACATTGGCAGCTACGGCCTCTTCCTGTGGGAGTGAATTCCATTGTTTAGCACTGCACTGTGTGAAGAAGGACTTTCTTTTATCTGTCCTGAATCTCCCACTGGGATTTTCTCAGGCAGTAGCATTACAAGTTCTCCCTCTCCATCTTCTCCACATAGTGCATAATTTTGAATACTCCACCATGTCTCCCATTTTTAGCTCCATTTCCAGGCAAAACAATTGCAGCTGTTGTAAGCATTGCCCATAGGGGGGCTGCCCCAATTCCTGGCCATTTTTATTGCCCCCTATGCACTTTTCCTAAGTCTATAATGTCCTTTTTCAGGTGTGGTGACCAGAACCGTATGCAGTATTCTAAGGGTGGTCACACCAAAGATTTGTATAAATGGAGTACAATCTTGGCAGTTTTACTACCAAGGTCATTCACAAAGAAAAAAGATATTGCGTCTTTGATCAAAGCAAACTGTCATGTCTTCTTTCAAAAGCATCAAATCTCACATTTTAATTTAATTATGTAGGGAAAGAAGGGAAATAATCTTTAACTCTATCAGGCAGCAAACTCTCCAGAAGATCAAATTTTGCCTCCAGCATTTAAAGATATTCTCTTATATTGCAAGCTGAAATCATCTGAATTTCTAACACCTTTCCTTAATTAGCTTGTTAAGGCAAGGTACTTTGATGCTGTCCCAAATATTATAAATCCATGCCACTGCAATGAAGACAAGGTACCTCAGTCTGGGAGCTAAAGTGCCTGGCAAATCAGAATGTGAAACAAAGACTCTTCTGTGTAATGTAAATAATATTTTTTTATTCTTGTTGCCAAGGAGAAAAACACAAGAAAACATTTATAGATTGGTCTCAAGTGCTTGTTGAATTGTCTCTTAACACCTTTGGAATAAAATCAACATTTTAATAGGGAACTGTTCCTTGTAAAATACTGGGCTTGCAGGTTAATTCACCAATTCCTCACCAGCACACAACTGTTGCAGTGCTTGGCAAGACGCTTACAAGGGTAATCCATCAGCACTCACCTATAAATAATGCCTTTGCTGTGAAGAAACTGTAAGCCACACAATATTTCAGCTCCATAAAACCTGAAACAAAGAGAAAGTGCTTCAGAAAAATGACAAAGTCTTCATTTAAGTACTAAACCTTCTAGTGTTTTCAAAGCTTCTATTTTTCAGCCACTTTCAGAAATTTTCTCTTTCCCCCAAACTATTAAATGCTGGAGAGCCTGCAATCTGGAGTGCAAGCAGAGGTGAAAGCCCCTCCCTTGCTAAACTGGTAGGGCAGTGTTTAAAAGCCCCCCTCCCCCCCACACACACACCCCTGATCTAGTCAATGCTTCCCTTGATTTCATGACCCCTCCCATGAAAGGTGTTAGCCCATCACCCTTCCTTCCCTAGCCCCCTTGCTTCACCAGCACCTCTTCATTCAAATGGGATTTTGTTTTAGCCAAAAGAAAACTTCCTTAAAGTGGCATTCAACGAAAAGGGTTCTGTCTAAAGAAACTGTAGTTCATGGATTGCATCAAACCCCTGCATGGGAAAATAAGGATCAAGATCTGCCACTGCTCTTTCTTCTCTGACCCAGTACTTCTGTGTCATTTCTCAAAATGCCTACAACTGGACCCAGAGGACCTGGATCACCTGGGCTGCTCTTGCAGCTTTGCCTTTCCTCCCCTCACCCAAGTCTACCCCCTCCCCTCCCCT